ACAGACCACTCTACAACAATTTTTTTAAAAACCGTCCACAGAATGTTCTTGTCTGTTTTACACTAAAACCTCTAAAAACCTTCAAACAGTGGTGATTGCTCTAAGACTGCAAGGGAAGCTCAGCTTCCCTTAAAATGTCACCCCCCAAAAGAAAGAAAAAGTAGTGAAATATGTGCTGCTGTGTGTACATTTCATTAACTAAATACGCGCTAGAAAGCCTTCATCTTCATCACAATGTGATAAGAAGCTGATAATCACAGGTAACCAGCACAACTTCGTTCTCATTCATCCTCGCAGCGCCTCAGCACTTTACACAGCCGGACGCCCAGCGTCTGCTGACTTCAATGTGGAAGCTTAAAGTGGGTTGTTCCAGCAGCGAAACTAGACGCTCATTGGAAAAATGCTGGGCTTTGTCCCGCCCATCGGACGCTCAGCGTCTCTGGAGTTCTATGACGAGAGGGCGGTCCCAACTTTCTCAGGGACGCTGAGCTTCTGCATCCATGATTGGATGAATCTTGAAGAATAAAACATCTACCAGAGCATTTTCCAAGTTATTCATTCTGTTGTTCTTAACTGCTCCAGAGACTTTACCGATCCTCAGCGACTTTTGTCTTTGTTAAAAATGACTGCCGTTGTGTTTGGCGACTCTGCTCTGTTACATACAAATAAACAAACACAATTATGATGTAGGCCAGAAAAATGAGCTTCCACTCCTTGAGAGACCAGCAGTTGCCACTGCCTTCAAAGTAATCATTTTAACATCTTATTTAATGGGAATCTGCCCTCGGGCAAAGGGTGTGTGTGCCTGACAGTTCAGTAAAATGTTATGAAATGTTGTGAAACTTGCTTCCTGTAACAAAACTAAAAGAGATTGTGTTGAGATTTATCACCTGTTGTTTTAATTTAAGCTGCCACGTTTCCTTTAAAATGTATTGACGATGTATCTGGATGGTCCTTTATTTGACAGCAAAGGCCCCAGAACAGCAGCAGACATTTGACCTGTAAGTCTTCCACCATTTGCTGGTAGATGTCACAGACAGGTGTGACGTGGGTTGGAGAGCTACTCCAAACAAATCAAATTTGGTGTGATCTGAACCTGCTACTGAATGAAGCTCTGCAGGAAATGCCAGTTCACTGTGAATCTTATCAGACTGTTTTCACACCAGATGCAAGAGCTTAGGTGTTTTACTGAGAACAGGAAAGCACTCAGATACCTTCAAACAGGCCCAGAAGTGAAATTCACGCCCCCAGTTTACATCAGCTTAAGGCTTTGATTCATTCAGCTTTGGTTGTGGAAGTATATTGTCAAACTGAGAATGCAAAACTTTGAGAAAAGAATAATTTTCATTCCTTAAGAACAATAAATGTATTGTTAAATGTGGAAAAGGCTAGACTGAAAGGCCCTGATCAAAATCCATTTTTGGAATATCCACTATCTGCCAATGCTAGGTCTGAATGACACTTATAATTTCCCAGATAATATAGCTGAAAACTGTTTTTTGATTCAAAAAATGTATGAGGTACACAAATTAATTCAACTTTTTTCATCAGCTTAATGTATTTAGAATAGTTAGGGTAGTATTGTTTGATAATTCACAAAATTAAAATTAAGTGCATACAGTGAGGCTCAGCAATAACAGAAAAAACCCCAGAGCTCCAAGCGTCTGCTTTAAAACTAACAAGTCACATCATGTTTTAAGTCCTATGTTGTCATGACCTTTGCTGTGCAGCTACAGTAAGGCAGTGTCTAAAATGTAGTGAACAAATTGTGGATCCAAAAGCTCCAAAACATAGCAAACACTTGTCTCCTTAACTACAAAGATGGGTTGATTTTCCAAAGCGATGAGTTCAAACACCTTCTCTAGGCTTGTCTTTTTGGCCTTTTTGCACTCTTGAGTGTATTTATCCTTCCTTTTAAAGTTGATAGCTTGTTGCAAGAATTCCCAACTTGTTAAGTTTTAGCCATGGGGCAGCTAATACTAAGTTACTTACATGTTTGGGTTCTGCTGCAAATTGTACTCAGGGGTTGGTGGTGGGACCATATGCCTGGACCAGATAAGTTTTAAAAAGCACATATCTGCTCCAGACAGTTAGTTTGGATCCAGACCAGGATGTCCCTTGTTAAATGACCTCAACTAGTTTACAGATTTTTACAGTACAGATTTTTGTCTCATAATTACACTTACACATTTAATTACACATGGTAAAAACTCAATGACACTTTTTCAATGGCATTGGCATGTCTTTTTTTTCCAGATGCTTACAGGCTTTCATTTTTTTTCAAGTTTTTGAAAACATTTATGATGGCTAAACTCTTTATGCTTTGAAAACAGTCCAAAACACCTTTTCATAATGGTAAAAAATTGCCCTAAAAATATTAAAAGATGAAAAAGGCTGTTATTTTACACAGAGCTAAGTTCAAATGTACTGAGTTATGTACTGAAGTTTAACAATTTCTAGCTTAGCTTTAGCCATCTTTAGCATTTAACCACTTCCTGGCAGAAATGATGTTTGAAAGTGAACTGAAAGGTTCAGTACATGAAAGTGAGACCATTTAGCAATTGGAACATACTTATCAAAGTTTTATTCCATTTCTGCCATGTGTTTTCTTTGAAATGCTGCTAAATACTACACACTGTACTGTTAATACTTGTCATTCCATTAATTGTTCTTGAATTAGTATAAACTTGCTTGCTACTTTCTTAAGTGTTAGCCTGCAACCAAGCAGAAACCTCTGGTATTCAGAAACAAAAGCATAAAGGTGCCAAAAACTGAAGTCCCTCATGTGTCCTCTGAGGCTAGTAGCAAAAGTCCCAGAAACCACATAAACACAGATTCTAGCTAACATAAATTTAAAAAATGTGGCAATGAAGATACGACTTCCATCTTAAGTTTGCTATAAATATTTGTTTTCCCTTTACAGTTGTTTCACCTGCCTGTTTTATCCGTATTTTTAGAATGTGATGGTTAACATGAAGAAGATAAATGCTTACATTAACTCTGTTTTGATTTTATCAAATTGGTTGTCAAATACAGTTTTTTAACCCAGTAATGGTCCGGCTCCTCATACAGTAAGGAGAAAAGAATCTTAAAGATCCCTTGGGAAACCTTCAGTGCATGTAAATTTTGGTGCCCCCTGTGGACAAATCAGCCTTTGCTTATTTTGTCCTCTTTGTGCTTTAGTAATGTTCACTGCCAAACAAAAAAAATCTCATCCTGCAGACTTTTTCCAGTCAAATGAAACATTTAGAAAAATATTGAATGTTGAAAATGTAAAAAAAAAAAAAAAGTATGTTTCTTGCTGCTCAGCAGACACCTACACCCACACACAGCTGTCAGACATATAAAATTACAGTTAAAAACTAATCCATGTTCTCAATGCTGGTGTTTTCTGCTTTTGAAAATTGAAAAAATATATATAGTAATACAAATTACAGTTTATTTCATCGGCGTCAAAAAACTCCTCACAGGAGCTTTAATTTTACAGGAAAATAAGTAATATGACAAGGCTTCCCATTGGACTGCCATTTTTCCAAAAAGACTTAGTTCCTTAAGACACTTAAGACATAAGGTTCTTGAAGTATCAAAGGATGGAGTGTTTGCGAAACTTGAAAAAGATTGCTTCACAAGATGCTCCGTGTTCCTCATTGCAGCAGAGGTAGTTGGCTGCTTTTCTTATTCCCTTTCAAATGGTCAGAAAGGGCGATTAAACTCTACAACTATGACGTTTTCACAACAGGTTTACAACTTTGCACAGTATACTATTATTATAAACGCTACAACTTTATAAGGACAACAGTACAACTTTCAACTCATATTTTGCAAAACTAATTATTTCTGGTCAGAGCTATACAAGCTTTAAGTGAATCTTTCACAAAGTACTTTGAATCCTGCTAATTTCATAGGGACATGGCCCATTGTCTACCACTTGGGTCCTGTTTGTTCCTTGTGAGTCTTTTGTGTAAGGCTGAGATTGTTCACTTGAAATCACTAAAATAACAGGTCACTCCACTGATTTTTCAGTATGGCTTGAGTTAGCAAAGGAGAATGTTAAAAATATCACAGGCTTACACTAGTCTTGCATACCAAATTTTCAGTATTTTGTGCTATCAATTGGTTTGAGCGGTATCAGAAGGGGGAGGGGATACTTTCGCTCGTGTTAAAGAGTATTTTTTTCCTGTACCTATCAGAAAACAAAATAAAGCAGAAAAACAGTACATTCAGTTTGCCAAACATGTTGAGCTGCTTATTTTCTGGGCAAATGCTCTCCTCGGAACTGAAGCTGCAGCTGCTTTAAGTTTCTTTTCAAGAGCAGAGAAGTAAGAGGTAAAAAACAGGCAGCAGGGCAGTGTGTTTATAACATTCACTCAGGGGAAATGAATGTGCCTTTCCGTGCTGAAATGTCTGAAGTGACTTTCCACACAAAGACAGCGGTGATTTCCACTGAAGACATGCTCAGACTACACACCGGTAATGGAGGAAGAAGACAGCGACTATCCTGAGAGTACACTGCTTCGAGGCACGCATTTGCTCGGAGCTGAAACCGCTCGAAACCTGTCGCCATTTTCCCAAGCTAAAACACAAAAGACTTGGCTTGAGGAGCACACACCCCTTTTTCAGTCTGCTACTCACACACATGCCCATTCTCTGTATCCACACGTGTAAACGACTTAAAACTGTGGTCGTATGATATTTCACAGACAATTGCGGGACGTGTCAAAGTGCAGCATTATCTAACATGGTGGTGTTTGTGAGAAGTAGTGAAGGGCAGATTTAAAGAGAATTTCGCCTTGTTTAAAGCAGATGGTTGCACACACAGACAAATAGCTCACCATTTTTGCTAACTGACGGGTGACGTATCCAAACAAGTCAGAGCCCGGATTTGAAATCGTGTTGCTGACCACAGCCTTGTCCAATCAACGACGCACAGAGGTGGGACTTAAGCCCGTCAATCACACTGGGACTATAACGGTTTGAATAGGGTGGGAGGGGGAGAATCCAATCCGGTTTGAGCTAGTTTTTCTTCCAATGGAACATTAACGTCTCGCTGCGCCGTGTAACACTGTACTGGCACAGCTTTATCCCGAATATACCACTGTATTTTTCTCCTGTACTGACTTTTATTTTGCTCGTTTTTCTTCTTTTTTTTAAAAATACACCTCACACAAACCAACCATGCCTAGAAGGAGCAAAGTGAGTAGACCGACATCTTTCATGCATTCAGTAATACAGCGTTAATAACCCCCAACTGCACCGTGTTAAATTGGCTCCTTACCGAGTCTGAGTTGTTCAAATGTTGCCACATTTATCCGTTTTCCTCATTATGTTGAATGTTAGCGCCGTGCAGCAGTGACTTTTACGTGTGTATGTAGCGTCTGTTTTGATTTTCTCAAGTGGTTGATTCTTGGTCTTATCTCTTCTCGTGCAGTGATTATCTTTGTGCCAAGTGCTTTTCCGTGTGCATGGGGCTAATTTACCGCAGGATTATGATATGCACGAATGCAGTTGTGTTTTGATGCACTTTATTGCACTGTAGGACAAAGCGGGGTCGTTTTCTCGGTCGATGGGGGCTTTTTTTCTGCAGAGAAAGTTGGCGGCATATTGATTGTTTTCAATGGGGGTCGTCACGCTGGATACCAAAGTTTCTCTTGCAGAAAAAGGGGGACTGAAAAGGTTTTAGCGACGGTACCAAGTTATTTTGCGGGAGTTCTGCTGTCGTGTTTAGATCGTTGATTCTGGGATCACATTTTTGACGGAATTACGAGTTTATTCACATTTGGCTTATAGAGCACTGTTAAATGTAACATGCATGTGTTTTTATTGGTGCATATTTGCTTTCGTTATTCACGTGTTATAGTGCTTTTCTTGAAAGGCGTTCGTCGAGTGTGCATTCAGTGTATTGTCGGCTCAGGCCACTCGCAGGTTATGCAATGGCGAGCCTCCGTCAGCAAAGCGCTGCTCTTGTTGCTGGGGGTTCTAGGAGATTCTGCTACCAGATCGACGGAGTCGCTGAGCATCTCGGAGGGGCTCTTTTCAAATAAATGGCGGGAACACACACTGCTCGTTTTTTTCCCCTGTTCACTGGCAATCCCATATATTACCAATGAATGGTAGGAGTAGGAGGCGGAGTCCGCCCCCTCCTCCACTGGAGTGTTCACTCCCGGTAAAGAGTGTATGAGCCCATGGCGCTGTCAAAACTACGACATGCGTATGTATTGTGCTTTCTTTACGGCTGAGCAGACGTGTTTCTTTATTTTCAAGCCAAGTTATCCCAAAATATCCGCTATTTAATTCGTTGCTAGGTAACGTGTGGTTATGCTAATTTCACTCTACGTAAACATGCTGACTAACGAGAGTGGCTTTATCAGACTGTGATTAATATGCACCGATATTTGTTCAGGCTTTCAAGCTCCATTGTGCCAGATTTCGGAAGCCAATCACAGTGCCTGCTCCTAACTAAAACATGCATGAAGCTACATGTGCAGCCATAGGCTAATATTTTGTAGGGAAACGCCCACTCCTGAGTTACATAATGCTGCTCTCAGCCCATGCCCCTCTCCCCACCTCTAAAAACATATGCAATGGCATCAGCCCATATCTGATTTTATCCTTTTTTTTCCACAGAACGCCGCTGCAGGAGGTGAACCAGAGGTAAGTCTTTACAGAGAAATCACTCCCGTTTCAGTTTATGGCTTTTAATATAAAAGCAAAACAGCAAAACTATTAGTGAACTCGTCCACCAGGGGTCAGCATCATGCTAAAGTTGAAAGTTCTAAGAAATAATCCTGTCTGTTCTTCTTTCACAGCCCAAGAGGAGATCTGTCAGGTTGGAAAATGTGAGTACAGACAAGTCCAGACTGTGTCAGACAAAACCAAGCTGTAGACTACATTCTTCTCACTGGCATGATTTTTCTTTCTGTTTCAACAGAAACCTGCACCTACAAAGACTGAGGCCAAACCCAAGCCAAAGGTTAGGACTTGTTTTAAACCCATTTTGATGCTACATATTTCTTAGTCTGCTGACAAAATGACTGATATGTCAAATATTTCTGTTCTTAGAAGGCACCCGCTAAGCCTAAGAAAGCCAAGGAGGTAGAGAAGGCCAAGCCTGAGGAGAAAGAGCCTGAGGCCCCTGCAGAGAATGGGGAAGCCAAAGTTGAGGAAGAAGTAAGAGGCACATAATCGTATGTAGACATGTAGGATCAAGGTTTAATAGCATGTTGATGAAGCTGTAACACTCTGAAATTTGTCTTCCAGGCACCAGCTACAGACGCAGCTGATGAAAAAGAAGAAGAGGCGGCAGAATAACATCTCTCAAACCACGTCTTTTACCAGTGCTCCCTGTACCTCTTTTCTTGTACAATTCAGGGGAATATTTTTATCAACTATTTTCTAAATACAGGTTTTTTAGTAGTTTGATTGTAGAGAACACTTTTTTTTAATGAAAGAAAAAAGTCGATTTGGAAACAGGAATTTCATCACATCCCACAATTTTGCATCGCCATAGAAAATTGCGGTCATTGTTGTTACTGTTGGTGGATTTCATTTCAGTTTTAAATGTGAAGGAGGGGAGGGTGAGGGGCAGGTTACAGTGACAACACGCAAGCACCACGTTCACAGGATTTGGGGAAACAACGGGAAGAAATCAGCCTGCGTGGATTACATTCCATATGCTTTATAAGGGACAGTGTATGTAATCTGTGCTGGGGTGGGGATAGACGGAGTCACAGGGCAACTCATTGTTTTTATTGTTTATGATGAAGAACAGTGTTTTAGAATGTTTGTAAGCTTTCTTCCTCTATGTTAACTCTTGTACTCATGCAGTTTTCTTAACAAATCTGTTCAATAAAAGCTAAAATCGCTAGTACTGGAGCTCTCCCTATCAGAACCGTGCATTGCGTGTGTTGGTTGTGTCTCTGTTCTGTGATAGCATCGCAATAAATTTGTATAGCTGCTGTGACAAGGATTTTCAATCTTTCTATATGCAGTGTGTCATGGTACAATTTAAGGATGGTAAAAATGGAAATTGTTTTCTTAGCCAAGCTAATACGGTGTATAACCATAAAAGAAAAAGAAAAAAACATCTGTTGAGACTGGCTCCTGTAAGGGCCTGCAGACAAACTGTACATTTATTTGAGATGTCAAATGCATACCAGCAGTAGCAATATTCATGTGAGTTTTAGGTATCTGTATCAAGTACAAGTGTGCGGTTTATTTTGATTTGTTTATAGGTGTACCTGTGTAATGATTGTTATCAGAAAAAAAACAATAAAACTCAGTTGGTAGTTGTTGCGCTCTTTTATTCTGAAAGATGTTCTAATTTCTCAGGTTGATTAAGTGATAACAGAAACATGAAGTTGAAACTTAAGGTTTTAAGGAGGTCACAAAGGGGATTTTGTTGATAATCAGAAAATATGTATATTTTGATCCATAGTTTACAGTTTTATCAGAGTTCAGTAAATTTCTGATCTTTGCTGGACTATTTCAACAAGAAGCTATTCCTTTTATATGATGTTGGAGTTCCGAAAAAGACTAGCAGTCAAGTAAAAGACCCTGTAATAGAGAAATCACAGGTGTTACAACTATTGTTAGTGTAACATAAAAGAAGCTGGCAAGATGAACAATATATCACGTGCTGCGTTCAGCTCCTGCCTGCAGACAGAGCTCGGTTTCAGCACCATGGACAGTTTCCTCTGAGCCCTCCACTGTATCAGCTGATGGAATTTTATGCATCGTCTTTTATTGTCCCACGTTGCCTGTTGACGGGTTTGGTCCAGTTTGGCTCCAGTGTTTGTAAACAAACCGCGCACTCCTAGGCCGGCTGGCCGTAGCGCGTTCACTTCCGGTTGTGCTGTGATTGGTTCATATTTTCAGAGGGAGCTGCTCAGATGATCGAATTCATCCATCTCTCTTTTCAGACGCGACTTTAATACGGTTTCCCGCATCAAAACAGCGGATCAGGTCGGTTTTGATCACATTTTCAAGCCGTGAGAACAAGAATCCATCAGCTTCATTGCTTAGACGCCCAATGCCTCCTTTTACCAAAGACAATCGAATACACATATGCATTTAACAGCAAATACCATTATTTGTTAATGACTTCAACCAGCAAATATTCATTTCACATAAAGTGAAATAGCTCAAGCCAAATTTGTTTAATTTGAATAATAAGCACCTTTCATCAGATCAATCAAAGAATGATTTAAGGTACAGAAAAGCACTTCTGAATATTAAGTTATCTTATACACCCAGTACTTTCCATGCCTTCCTTTACACCAGTCAGATTCTTAAAGCACCAGTCAGGAGTGTGTTTGACATCTATGAAATATCTCAATTCATGTCATGCCTTTTTATGTTCTCTAAAAGCAGACGAGGCCACCAGTGATGTGATGGACTGATTAATGTCTGAAACTGGAGCAAAGGAAGCAGGTGCCAGTGATCAGCTGAAGAAACAGTCGACAGTATACTTCCACATTTGAAGTGAAACTTGACTGTTGCCAATCAACTTTAGCATTCCTGCACTCTTGCTACTTTGATCCTGTCAGTATTGACCATAGATCAGCAAGGCCTGCATCTTTCTTTTTGACTTAAGCTATTATTAAAATTGGGTTATAGATGTGTAATTCTGTGGCACTACTGTAAATCAGGTTTGGGATGACTGAAGCAGGTATTGTTGATTGGCTTGGATTACTGGCTTTGTGGCTCCCCTTACAAAATTATAAAACTTTGCACCTGCAGCATGTTTGAAGTAAAATTGTGTAACTAGCTGATCCAGTGTTTCATGTCCAGGCCTGCAAAAAAAGGTCATAGAGCCATATTGTGGAACCAATGTCTGCCATTTTGTAGTTGAAACAGACTGATTTTAAGCCATTTCAAGGGTTTATTCCACCATAAGTCACCACCTTACAGGACTATCATTTCAATCAGTCTTGCAGTTTGGTGAAGCCGTAGAAGAGACTTTAAAAAGAAGACCTTACTAAAATCAACGGTGTGGCTGCAGCGACTCCTCCTTTTGTTACATTTTTTTAGCAAATGTTTGGGGTCACGTTGTGATTCCCTGTTATCAGGGTATGTCCAATCCATGTTAACGTTTTTCATCTTTTTGAAGACCCTCAGGATACAAGTATTTTTAAGCTTGTGTACAAACTCACTTTGCCTAGCTATGGCAGCTTTACAAAGTTTGGTGTTCGACACAAAGGCTGGTTTTGGGTTGCGTTTAGGCTAAATTCACCATTTGAATTCATGTAATGTCACTTCTAATTTGGTGTAAGTCTTGATAAGACTTCACTATGTAAGGTTATTTGGCTTCATTTTACTGTCTTCCTATATAAGCTACACAAAGACATATAAACAGCCCAACAATAGCGAGGTAAGGTTCACATTTATTAGATGCCCTTGACTTTTTTAAGTGCACCGTACAATCCCAGTGAGATACAGAAATGCCAGCATGGCAGTGTAGACCCATTTTAAATGACAAGAGATGAGGAAGTCATCAGTACATATTGTGGCAGTGACAAACACTTGTACCAAATGTCTGCCCGTCCTTACAAACATACCAGATTATAAATTCATACATGGCCTACAAAGTGTATTTCTGCATCACGCAGCACAGAGCTATGTATAAAAATAACATGATTTCTTATTATTCATATCACTGAAATTATGAGCCATTTACATTTTAACAAATACTTGAGGTATCAGTAAAATGACTGTGTTGCATGCTACAGCATATTTGTGCAAATACCTAGACCTAAACCAGTCTAGAGTGTACAAGCTCTTTAGTGCACATTCAGTAAGTTAAACAGAGCTGACCTGGCGCTAAAGAGTGCAGCTCGTGTCCACTTTATCTGAGAAAACTTCAGTCAAACGTTCTAATATATTAATATCCAAGTTCTTTCTAATCTATATTTTCAAATTGGAAGCATAATTTTGAGCTGGTGAGTATGATGACAAATGAGTGTGTGCAGACAAGATCCTGATCCTAACAAGCGTTAAGACTGACATCTATCTAGATTATCTACATACACCTCATATAACCGTAAAAAAATATGAGATAAGTTAGTGTTTGGCATTAGTTTTGTTTGGTCAGATTGGAGTTTGCAGTTTTCTGTTTACAGAGCACCCAAGAGTGCAAAAACACAGTCCGTCTGGTCACATGACATGACATGTAGATTCAAGGGGGATACATTAGTCCAGTTTTTCTGCAATCCGTCCCATCTTAGTGCGCATGTTGCGTACCAGGAAGAAGCCAATGGTGGCGACGCCCATGGTCACCTCTGCTACCCAGAAAGCCATGTCCCAGCTGTGCTGTTTGGCAATGTTGCTGAAGGGCAGCCCCGCCATGAAGGCACCCACTGTAAAAAGAAGAAATAAAAGCTGCTGTTTAATCTGTTGTGGCAGGAAGAATCAACTAAGTACGACATTGAACTTGCATGTATATAGTCTGGTTCTGTTAAACATGGCAATGCTTTATGGGTTGTGTTGTTAAATGAAGTGGTCCTGCTTGTGGATTCAGTGAGCACTGGAAGGGGGTTAGGTTTGGGATACAAGGGCCTACTGCTGAGCCTCTTAAGGTGTCTCCTCTGGTGCCATACTCAATGACACACCAGTGAAGAGAGAAACCTACTGTATAACCCTGTGATTTGTTGTCTATTGCAGCCTGTATATCTTCCCTTATCTTGATGCTTGGGGTCATTTGGGAACCCTATGGGGTGGGTGTGTGATGGGATGGCTTTCAAGTACCCTGTGTTCAGAGCACTTTTCACCTTGTGTGATTTCTGCTGCAATTTGCACCCCACAATTTTTTTTCCCCTTGAGTTTCACACAACAGCATAATTTGGTCAATTTTGGTCCAAATCCCCCTCTTTAACAAGAGTCAACAAAGTCTGGATTATTTTTATGGTTCAAAGATAATCTTGTTGGATTTTCAACATTTTGTGATTTTACAACACAGCTGCCCCAGGGTCGAGAAAACGTAAAAAACGTAAAACTGCATAGGTTACTTTGCAGGTTAGTCAGACAAGTGGGTATAAAAAGGGTTTTTCAGAGAAGCTGAGTGTCTAAGAAGTAAAGTTGGGAAAAGATTCTCCACTCTGTGAGAGACTGCATCAGCAGATAGTTCAGCAAAGTTGGACTAATGTTCCTGACTAAGCTGATAACTGATACTGGATGGCTGTGGTCTTTGGGCCCTTGCTGCACTGCGTTAAAAACAGATATGTCTGTACTGGTAGCTGGCGACTCCTCTAGACCTGAGATCTTTTAAAACGGAAGTGAAATGGAAAGCTGTCCTGCAGTCTGACAAGTTAAAATCTGACATTCTTTATGGAAATCATGGATGCTGCAGCTTATGCTCCAAAAGGAAAAGTACAGCCCGTCTTGTTAACAGTGCACAGTCCAAAAGCCAGCATTTGCGATTGTATGGGGATGGTTGAGTCCCCACAGCACAGGATGTTTGAAAAACTGGAAAAATGCTGAACAATTTATCCAGGTTCGGGAGCAACACTGCCATCAGGACAATTCGTTTCACAGGCAAGACCTCGCATATCACAGCAAGAAGATGCCAACTACATTTGGCGAATGTCATAACAGCATGGCTCTGTAGTAGCAGAGTCTCAGTGCTGGACTGGACTGCCTGTCGTCTCAACTTGTCACTCACTGAAAACATTTAACATACCATGACTCAAAAATTACAACAAAGAAGACCCCAAACTGCTGCTGCAGCTGAAATCATATAACAGAGCAGATCATTTCACTTTCAAACTCCAGACTGGTCTCATCAGTCCCCAAACATTTACAGGGTGATGATAAAGAAGAGGTGATGCAGCACAATGGTGAATGTGCTCCTGCCACAACTGTCTTGAAATATCTTGCTGACATGAAATTCAAATCATCCTTGAAATCAGATTTTATGAACATTTTACACAGTCTCCACACTCTCTTGGACATTGTACACTAACTGGAGTTGTAAAACTGACTAATAAATGCTAAATTACCACAGTATAAGACATATTCTTCATTGGATCTTCAGCTTACCATTAGCCATCAGAGCTACAACAGCATGAGAGGTTCCACAAAAGTTTGAAGGAGCACTTTCACTGGCAATCACTCCAAACAAGGCGATTGGTCCGTAAGAAGAAAATCCAAACATAGCACCGAGGAAGAGGATCCAGATCTGTGAGAGACCAAAGAGAAAGAGTTGAAAAAGCTTTTCTAAGGTTAAGGCCAGTATGTGTTTATTCTAGTAAAATGTGTGGACCATACCTCCTTTTCTGACACACCAATGAGAACAGACAGAGGATGAATAATTTGAACCCAAAGAGGAGCTTCCTGAAGAGAGAGAGGTGTTTTTTTTTAACTACAGACAGGTTTTGATTTTCACAAGTTTGCTGATGACATAAATAACTTTGCAGTTACCTCTGGGATTTCAGGAGTGATGGTGACTCTGAAGAGGTACATAGACACATACATACCGCCCATCATGAGGATGAGCACACCATGGCGAGGGTTACCGTGAGTGCCTAAACCTTGCTGGAAGAAGCCAAAAAACAGGATGTTTTTCAATACTCAACTCTTATCAATGACTATTTTTGCTTATTCATCACTGTCTGTCACTCACCCGTGCCACAGCTCTGTCTGTGATGAAACCTGACGCCAGGCTGCCCACAAAACCTCCCACCTCCAAGGCACTCATGTAAGTACTGCCTGTGAAATAACACGGAGGTCAGCAAATACAACAAGGTTAGGTTTTAATCTCTGCGGACCTTTACAAAGTTGAATTGAATACCCATGAGAGCAGTCTGTCCTTTCTCCTGCATGAGGAACAGCTGTCCCCAGTCGGTGGCAGCCGTCTTCACCCCGAACACCACCAGGTAACCCAGAGATAGCACCCACAGGAAGGGAGAGAGGAGGAACTCCTTCAGGGTGCTCTCACTGTTTCCTGAAGAGCCCAAGCACAGACAGGGAGGCAATCACTGGTAACTGATACGTACATAAATACAGTGCAAAGTCATGAGAATGTATGACTGACTTATTCTTTAAAGTATGTGCATCACATGGTGCAGTCATGGCACATTAATCATTTTGATGTAAGGTGATAATGGTGTCTGATTGTTTACACTCTGTATGATCTGACACGTCCCTTAAACACACAGCCACCACCTTCAGAAAACAAGACCCCCTCAAAGTCTTGGTTTATTTTCCCATCAACATCGCCCCCTTCTGGTGACAACGAAAAAGACACTGAAGGATTTTTTGTTGTTGTTGTCACATCAGCTCTTCTCAGAGATGCACTTAGGAAGACTTCTGAGGCTCTCACCTGAAAATTCACCTGACTGGACTGTCCATACAAACACCCTCAAAGTGTGGAGAGTCTACTGTCAGACAGGGGGGAGTGGGGGCTGCAGAGGCTGATCTTGTAGCTGCAGTAGTCTCAACATAACTTTGTACAATACTACCCAACATTGAAATTCCTGATTCTTTAATACAGTTCAATTTATTTTATTTTATTCTATTTTCCTCTCAGCCCCTGGAATATTTGTTTGTTCATGAATCACACACAGATACACATATGTATGATTGAAAAGGTTTTTTTTTCACTTTGATATCAACATGATGAGTAATCAAACATCTACATAGTATCAACAGATCCTTCATGTGAGGATCCTGCTCACCCTGACGGGAATAGAGTTTGTTCAATCACCTGTACACCGTGTATTTTCCCTTACTTGGTATTTCCACATTCCATCTTAAATCTCTTATTTTGGCTGTTGTAAGAAAAAGACAGACTGACTTGGCTCCGTGTCACAGACTCTCAACCCTTGTCTCCTCTCCTTACTCACCTCCCTTTGATCCCTTCTTAGCTGCAGCCTCGATGCTCGGCAGACCCACATCCTTTGGCTCGTTCTTCACAAATACCAGACAAACCAAGGAGAAAGCTGCACAGAAGATGCCCGACATGGTCATGATGGTCCTCCAGTCATAATACTGCAGCAGCACTGTGACCAGGATGGGACCCATACTCCCGGCCAGGTTCATACTACAGGACAGGACGGACCACCAGGTACCAAACTGGGACGGCTCAAACCACTGAGGGACAGAAGAAGAACCGACAGAAAACAGTGAACATTTTATAATCTAACAATATAGATCGAGACAGAGAATACACACTCATCTTACTGCAAAAGCCGTTTTTAACCAGTATACTGTACATTATACATACTTTTGGTCATGTACACAGAGATCCAAACCCACAAAAGAACAGTAATGAGACTTGATTCAAGTTTGTCTTCACACTGATGAACATTTAAGAGAACTTAAGATTACTTCTTACATCTGAGATGGACTAATGCAAAGTGGAAAAGTGTGCTGTGGTTTGACGAGTCCACAATTTAGATCGTTGTTGGTGCCTATGGCTAACTGTTACATCTGCGAAGGATCCATTTATTCTGAAAGTACATACAGGGTTAGAAACAACATGTGCAGCCATCAGAGCAAAGTCTTTTTCAGGAGTGGGAAAGACTTCACCTTCAAAGTTTCAATGACTAGTGTCCTCAGTTCACAAATGCTTACTGAGCGTTGTTCAAAGGAAAGCTGATGTAACACAACCGTAAACATGACCCTGTCCCAACTTTTTTGGAACATGTTGCAGCATCAAATTAAAAATGGGTGAGTATTTAAAAAAAAAAATAATAAGGTTTGTCAGTTTGAACATGAAATAATTCCCCCTTTAGAAACTTTCAGAAGTTTCTCAAGTCTTGAAAAGTGAAATGTCATCCCACTTTAGCCTGATAAAGGTGTCAGCTACACAAGAGTATAGTGTGTGGTGTTAGGCAATCACAGAGCTTGTGCTCTCTGTATGGAAATGTTAATTTTCTTTTTAGTCTTGTCATTTCATGGGCGTCAATCATTGAGCAGTATTTGTTAACTCCTTGTTAACGGTCCCCAGATCTGGACTGATTGACATGTAGGGATCAGGTGACACTGCTTCCTCTCTACTCTGCTCTCATCCTGTTTGAAGGAGACATAAAGGTGACATGTCAGTCCTGATAAGATGCTTAGAGGGCCTCACAAAATGTGACTGTTTGTCAACCTGACACTGAGAAGTCAGTGGTGCTGTGGCTGTGATGGAGGGTGGGGCAGAGACACACAGAGTGAGAAGAGAACAGCATAACTTCAGCTGAGGGCAGAGCCAATCTGGCACCTTCCTGCATATTTGTGCAGAGGTGTGGATGTATTAATAAGTTCTCAAGAGCACAACAGTTGTGACACAATCAGAAATGTCTTATTTCCTAGTTTTGCTGGTTATTTGACCTTACCGGTTCTCCATAGTTTCCTTATAAAACCTCAACTTCTCTTACCTGCTTTACCGTCTTCCTCTCTCTTTTTCATTTGTGAACGTCAACTTCTGATTAAAGCATGAGAGCAGGTCAGATTTTTATAAATAATACTGTATTATTATTGAAATGAGCGTTTTGTTTGTTACCTGTAGAGATGAGTGAGATATTAGCACCTCAGTTGACTGAAATTTGACTCGTTAAAAGCTTTTTTTAGTATGGAGACAAGTATGAAGCAGGCAAACCAAAGGCAAATCTGCTCTTCACTACCTCCATGTGCTCTACAGATAATGAAACCAAAGTGTGATCAGTCGGACTTGAAAAGATTAGCTAATTAGCTATTTCACTGAGTGCTATTTTCCCTCTGATCTTTGGGAATGCTTATCCAGACCCTGCACTGTCTTGCTTTAATATATTTTATTATTCGGCTGTGAGAAAGCTTTTGGGAGTTGGCAGCATGTAGAAACGTTACAGAAGCTTTTCCTCGTGCATCTAAAACACTGTTCCTATTCTTCTCTTTTTTACTGCCTCAGGACAAATGGCGTCAGAGCCTCACGCCCTCATGATGTAATACAGCTGAAGTGGGCCAGAAGTTTTCCTCACACAGAAACCCAACTGAGTAGTAACTAGGGAATCCACTGAGCAAACATGTAAAGCAGCTCAGAGGCTGGTTTAACCCCGCGTGTATCCTCAGTGTGAGCATGTTGACTCAGCTGCAAACAGGAGCTGCAGAGATGAGGCACACGTTTGAAGATGTCTCTCTCACTAAAAGAGAAAAAGAAAACCTTTGGTCAAAGTTATCTTCTTTTGGAGAGATTTACTGAGGATCTCCTATAAATACTCCCTGCTGTAATCTGATCCCTGTGGGCTTGCTGAACACATGCCAAAGCCTATTTATTCCCCACCTTTGCACACTCTTACTAAAAGCAGCTCCTCACAAGACTAAAGATGTCTGATGCATTCTGCTATTTGATGCTTGAACAGTCTTTACATTGAAGTCTTTTATATGCCACCAACAGTTCAGTGGACATTAAAGACTGTTGGGTAATCAAATATATAGAAATATACCTGGCCTGTGCTGATAAGTGTTGATATATAGCTGGTATCTCAACGTACATAGAGGTGCCACCTCTGACCCAAAGGTCAGTGGCACTGAACAACTGCAGGAAATTCCTGCGCACACTTTTACAGCTAACAGACGTGCAGACCAGAGAGAAAAACACAGACAATACAGCTGAGAGCAGGTGCAGGGTTTCACCTTTTTATTACCATCCCTGAAATCAATGTAGCCAACACGAAATGTTTTTTTAGTGTTGAGAGCAACAGACAGTGTTTTCACTGTATTGTTATTACTGCGCTCCACTGTGGATGTTTGGGAACAGATGAGAGCAGGCCGGTTTCTAGAGTGTGAAAGTGAAATGTTGATTCAGGACTTTGGCTGCTCAACAGCTAAAGGTCTTCTTTGTCTTATTTCTTTTTTTTTTTTTTATCATGATGCTCCATGTTTTCAGTAGGTGACAAGTCAGGACTGCAGGCAGGCCAGTTTAGCACCCAGACTCTTCTACTACAGAAAAAGTCACAGTCAGGATCATACTGTATAAACTACGGACAACTTGACACTGCCTTCCGCCATTCTATGAATTTGAAGCCGAACTGCCTTCGGTATTTCTGGGATTTTCTCCACTTCCTGGAACCATCACTTGCGCAGTAGCATTGTATGCATTCAGTCGAAGAGTCACAGAGAATCGCCGTCATGACGCTCAGCTCAAACAGTTTATCCCCTGGATGAATACACAATCTTTGTACGCCCATAGGCTGTATCAAGTATCAATCATAGAAAAAATGAACCCCCTAATAACTTTTAAAAATGAGGAAAAACCAGTCTTACAGTAACTACGTGTCAACATGGCAAGCAGGGAGGAGAAAAATGTATAATTTGTGTAATTAATTTCTAAAGTTTGTCCACAGCTCCATAGGGATTGCTGGAGGAGGCGGGATTTATAACCTATACTGGAGCCCATCATCAGAGGGTGCTGTTCTCGCGGTGGTGTCACCCAGTGAGGAGGCAGAAGGCGTCCATTCTATATACAGTCTATGGTCAAGATGCTTCAAAATCTGTAGATATTGCACAGCATTTATGGTGCCTCCCTAAATGTAAACTGCCCATGCCATCGGCACTTCTGCATCTTCATCCCATCGTGAATGCTGGCTTTTGAACTCTGATAACTAGCTTGCGGTCCCTCTCCTTGTCCATGATTTCCAAAAGGAATGCCAGATTTTAAATTTTAGAGCTACAGGACACTTTTCTACATCCCCCGGTCCATCTTACATGGTTTCAGGTCCAGAGAAGTCACCAGTGTTACTGGATCTTGTTAACACTTGTTTTTGTCTTTGTGTGTTTGAGTTTTCGCCTATATCTGTACATTTGTAAAAGCAGTAACAAACTGTGCTCACAGACAGTAGTGTCAGATGAATGTCACTTTGAGCTCATGCAGTGATTGACGCCACAGAGTCCTGTCTGTTTTTGACCCAGAGCTGCCTGAAGGCCTGAAGATCACTCCACCCACTGTGGGTTTCTTTAGTACAGAGATTTCTCCAGATTCTCTTATCTTTATAGGATATTATGTACCAAAAATAATGAATTTCACTTCTTAATTGCAATTTAACGCTGAGAAACATAATTCTGAAACTGTTGACGTATTTGCTGATGCAGTCTCTCACAGAGTGGTTAAACTCTTTCCATCCTTCCTTCGGAGAGACTCAGCCTCTCTGAATGCCTTTTTTATCTCCATGTATGTTGTAAACTTGTTTTAAACTAACCCCCTTGATTTGGGGAGTATTCCTTGAGGGTTTTTTTCTTTTTTTTTTTTTTACAGTTAACAACTCTGTCATTATTTTCTTGTTCCTGTCTTATCATTTTGAAACATGCTGCTGGCATCAAGGGCTGCATGGGCAAATTGGCATTTATCGTAAAACATGAAAATGTTCAGTTTAAACATTTGATACGCTGTCCTTAAACTATTTTCAGTTCAGTAAAGTGTTTGAATAATCTTATAACTATTCATTCTGTTTTTATTAATACTGAAAACAGTGTCCAAACTCATCTGGGAGTTTTTGATTCAAACAGACACAAGAGTTGTTGAACTTTCAATGACCGTGATTATCTGCTTCATACCATCATGCTTTGCTGAATTAAAGGATCTTTGCTGCAGTAAGTTAAATGTGCTCTGTGGAAAATGGAAAAAGGGTGACATCAATTTTGAGGTTTCACTGACCAAATCAGTTCTGCACATCTAAGCTCCAACACAGGATACCAGCACAGTCAGCCTGCATCCACCAGTGTGTTATGACTGTATTTATCACAGTGGGAGGATATCAAGGTGTGTTCTATCTTGATATTCAAACAGTGGTCAGAAATTGTTGTACATGTTTGCTTTATGCTGAGGCACCACAAATCATGGAGGATCGGTTTGGCATGGCACGGCCAACTTAGTGATCTTACCTTGCGCAGGACCTTCCCACAGGGAGGCCAGCCGCAGCCCTGTCCCAGGCCGTTTATGAACCAGAGCAGAGAGAACATGGCCACGCTGGAGGACCAGGAGAACACCACATTGATGCCGCCCACCAAGAAGAGGCCGATGGAGAAGAGCCAGCGAGCGCTGATCTGATCGGACAACACACCACTGATGAACTTACTGATGGCGTAGGCCATGGTCTGACTGCTGGTGATCAGCCCTGCAGAGACAAAAACACGTACATCTGTATTAGAGCATCTTCAGTAGAGGAGACATGGACTGACTGAACAACTGTGATGAATGAATCGTCGAAATAATGACAAAATCAAACCAGTCCAGTCAAAGTTACTGATCTCTACCTGGTCAAGGTTGTTCTCATGAATACCATAACTACAATAAAACACACTCAGTACTTAAAGTCATTATCAACCATGTATTAAGGTCTACAGAATCTAAGGATGGTCAGTGTGTAAGTCTCACAGTTTAGGCCAGACTATAACAGGAACTTACAAACATATTTGTGACCACTTGAAGGGTCTCCTGTTTCTGAAGATATGGTCTTAAGTGATGCACAAAAAGCACTTCCTCCATTGCTGTTGATGAACTTTAATTCTGTGATTCATTACTATCAGTCTATGAACCAATAACAAACAAAGAAAGCGAAATTAAAAAAATCTTATCCGCTTCTTTGGTCCCCAACCCAGTATGTTTTATAATTATATTGAATATCAACAATTACTGAGTCCAGATCGGATATTTATATTTGCCGATAATTATACAAGCCTGGCCTGACTGTGACCACATTTTGACCAGTCATTTTGTCAGTGAAAATGTATTAGTTTGCATTTGTGAGCATCTAGCTTAAAGCGACTAAATTTTTATTTTTGTTTCGCTTTCTTTCTCAAAACAAGGGTGCTGTGAAAGGTTTCACTCAAACTAAAGTTTAAGACTCTTTTCAAACTAGAAGAAAGAAAAATGTTTAAAAACATATAGAGCAAGTCAGAGTAATATGCAAACTGTGAGGATAAGTCTTTATACCATAAAGGTATACAACTTAACAGTGTTATAAAATGTTGTTTTTAGTGATCCCAATCTGATGTGAGCACCCTGTGTAATCCATACTTTACTCTTGGTAAATATAATTTCTGTGGAGCTGTCTGTTATTGAGGTCAAGCGGGGTGAAGAGAGTCTCTGTCATTACCCAAACAGATGCCTCACATAGCAAAGTGCTGAAACAGAAACTGAATACATTACATCTGCACAAGTGGCCAAACGGTGGACAGAGGAGCATACATTCAGCATCAAAAGAACAACACGGTTGAAACACTGGAGAGGTCTGGAGGCTTTTTTTCATTTGCAACAGTTCATGCAAATATATCTGCAATGTGCATGTTCACAAAGCTGCATAAGCTAGGTTTAGGCAGTGTTACACAAGTTTATTAAAAGAAAGCCTCATTAAAGACCTGATCAGTGTTAAATTAAACATTAAATATCCTCATAAATGTCTCACCCAGGTCGTTCTTATCCAGTTCGATCTCTTCCATCACAGAGGGCATGACGAAGGAGAAGGTTTTCCTATTGAAGAAGTACAGCGAGTAGCCGATGAACATGCACACAAAGATGGGGACACGATAGTATCCGTATCCTGTGGCCCCCATGGTTGCACTTGATTGAGCAAAAGTAATAACAAAAAACAAAAATTCTCAATGTTTCCTAAAGCAGGATTTTCTGTTCAGTTCTTCTGGCATCCAGATTAAAGCCAAGCAGAGGGAGAACTTCTATTTTTGGGCCGCTCTTAGTAAAAAATCTGATTCCATTAACTATTCGTTTTCACTGAAACAAAGGAGACGAAAAACCAGGTGGAGCAGTGGCCTGGCGGCACTTATTGAAGTTCGTTCCTGAAGGAGGAGCAGTCTGGACAGCAGTCTGGACAGTTGTCCTGCAGGCGGGCTGCTTGGTCTATCTGTGAGGCTGGTGCTTGTAGAGGCCAGGACAGAGGAGGGAAACCTTACACCGGCCTGGGAATGAGAGCAACATAACAACGATACCTTCAGAAGGAGGGAAATAGGACTGGTCACTCAGTAGGTTCAGATATTGAGCTTTTCTTGGCATAAGAGGATGGCTTGAACTGAACAGCTACAATTAATTATTCACATTATGTGTTACAGAAATTCTTCAGATTATGGTTATACCATAGGCTGGCTGCTATAATGCTCTGGGTGGTCAGTAAGGCTGACCACCCGGCATCAGCAGGAATCCAGGGATATGATGTATTAAAGGACAAGGCGTATGTATCATGTTCAGTTTTTTCCCATAAAAGACAAGAACTGTAAATCCCTTTGATCAAAGTATAAACAGTATGTGACAGGGGCTGTTAATATAAATTTAAGTCCTACTCTTTTGCTGTATGAAAAAATAATATTTTTATGTAAATTTTAGTGTTCAGATATTTGCACCTTTTCACTCCTGCGAATGCCCATGAAAGTTCAGGGCAGGCTGCCCCTAAACATCTCCCTAAGTTGCTTGTTCTCAGGTTTCCCACAGAATTAATTTAGGGGGGGTTCCTCACAAGACGAGACATGATATAAAAAGGACAGAGGGGAAGTAAGTCACCCTATGTGTTTACACGATCCCCCAGATGGGGGTTCAAGCATCTGATTTGACACAAGCCGTCTCTTATTTCAGAGTAAGGATCTTTCAAAGGAGTCATCAGTGGGTTAAGCCATCATGGCATGCTCAGGCTAAAAAAATATATAGAGTGGCCATCACCTTTTTAGAGAACCTTGAAGTTTTAAGGTGTCTATTTATTATTTGTATCATTCCCTGTCTTATAGAGACAAAACCAAACGCTAACATTCAGCAACAGATTTACTCAGAGTCGACTGCTGCAGAATCTGCCATCTCATTTGGATTGGCAGACGAAGAATCAGTAGATAAGGACGCACCCTATGTAACCTTGGCAGCTGAGGAAGAGCAGGACACATTTGTTGGCTGCATTTAATGAAGCCTTCAACACACTGCTGTGACCTCTGACAGAAGACGCAGACTCTGAACTGGAGCACAGCTGCCACGGTGACAGTATTTTTCATTAACATTAAATAGGCTTGTGTGTTTTAGTGTACTCCACACACATGACAATTGTTACTCTGATTGGTATACTATATGATGCAGAGTAGAGCAGCTTACAAAATGAGCTGAATGTGACGTTTACAGGGAACTATCGACTGTACCTGTAATTAGACATTTTAGCAGTGTCAAGACTTGGCTGCGGCTGATGAAAGCTCAAGTAAAAAGTTTTGGTAAAGGGTGAAAAAAATTTGGTACATTTTCAGCTGTTTTAGTGCCTGTGTTAAAAGGCTGTATCATACTTTCTCAAAATGCAATTCCACCACAAGCAGTATACTGGCATAAAACATGTTGCCCCACTGTAGCTTTGCTGATACAGAGCTCTTGTTAGGATGCAGGAATTCTGACTTATATATTGCCACATGTCTCATCTATAGTCATTATCCCTGCACTCCAAAAAGGGCTTAATTGGCAAGTGCCTGCCAACATGGTGGGCAATATAATGATTTATCTGTTTTCAACACTGAAAAGTAAATGCCTGGCAGTGGTGGACTGATTTTCTGGAACGACTTTTACAAACACAAGCCAAAAATTAACTCTGTTTAAGAACTGAAACAGAGAAGATTTTATAGCTACAGTGAAAGAAGAACTTGATAATTCACCAGATGTATCACTATTACAGGTACTTATTCCCCTTTGATATCAACATTGTGGCTTTGTTGGTGCATTTCCTTAGTATTTGATGACATACTGTTGACTTTCATTGCCATTTTAACTAATATAGTCTTTTATCATTAATGAGCAGTTTGTCTAAATAGTACACATACTTGTTACATTATTATGGCACTTTAACCATGTAAATGCATGTCTAATTGTTGTTATTTGTCTTTATTCATCTTAAACCATGTGTATCTTCCTCCACCTCCTCTCTAGTCTCAACAGGGGAGCAGCAGATGGCTGTCTAACATGAGTCTGCTTCTGCTCAAGGTTTCTACCTGTTTAAAGGAAGTTGTTTTTTTTTGTTTTTTGCCACTGTAGCTTGCTGAATACTGCAAAGCTTGTTCTGTGGGTCTAATCTTACAGGATGGATGTTATTTTCTATGAAATACATTCAAACAAAGATGACAATTGTATTCCATCAAACAACTTGAGACATTTTCCTTCCTGTTTAATCCTAACAGGAAAATTTGATGTGATGAAGACACTGAGTATGATAATTTGCATGAATTTCTGAGCCAATTAGTAAAGTTTCTAATCCAAACAGAGTGGAAGGATTTGGCTTGGTGTCCCTCTAAAATTCTAAATTTGGCATATGGATAATTTCTGCGTCCAGTACTATACAATGAATTAAATGAACGCAACAAGTATCCTTAAAGATAAAAATGTGATAGACTTATCAATATTTCCCATCTCTTTTAAAGGTTGAACCAGGTTTCTTGTTATTTACAGCCCCCCAGTCGTCCCAGGTTCAGGTCAGGATAGAGTGAAATCCAGGAGCCCATCTCGTCATGTTTTAAGTTTCACTGGTGTAGTAGTCTGCCACGCAAATGTCAAAGTGGTTCCTCTAATTTAGCACGCCTGGGTCCCCTGCAACTCTGGAAATATCAAGTGTCGTGCACAAGCAAATTCAATTCTGCGGACTCACGTGACCGTGGTCTGTTTTTAGAAATATATACATTAAGATGAGCTAACATGACCTATAAGTTTACTTTCTAGTAGGCTACGTGGAAAGCTTTACTTAAATGACACGTAAACAAACGAAACGTGTCACACTGGTTGGAAATACGAGCCTGTACATTTCAGTGAGCTTCCCAGGAAATGACAGACATACCGTGTTCAACAAAAGCACGACAACAATGATAAATTCGCCAAAATAGTACAATTCATATTAAAGTCCGACCAAATATCCTCAGTTTCGTGTGGCGGACGGATTTACAGGGCGGACCGTGCTTTTATATCAAAATCCTGCAAAATACCTGCAAAAACTACTAAAATCAATGGCTCGAGCCGTCTTACTGAGTATTTTACCGCCTCTCTGCCAGCCTGAATGAGGAAATGCCCGTAAAGCTGGTTACCTTTCATTCGCGCCCCTCTCGTGGATCCCATCCATGCAGAAGGACGACGCGCGCTCACGAAGCTGCAGCTCTTGTCTAGAGCGCGCACCCATGGGAGAGAGAGAGAAATAGGAAGAGAGGGAGAGAGACGTCAAGCCACGGTGGCAAATGTCGGTCACTGTTTTAAATGTCGCACCACCGTCACGATGTGTCTACACATGCCGAGTGGTATTGTGTATGTGACAAGTGGTATGTTGCCAAACTCCATTCAAATATGAGTGACTTTGAATGAATAACCCAGTTTAAAGCGCACAACATGAGACTAAAGATGATTATTATAATTTCTGCTCCCATTGGACCTGCAGGTTGTTCCGGCATTATCAAAGATCTATTCTTTCAATATAATCCTCGCATTATCCCCACATTGCTCAATGCTGCCCCCTACTGATGGACTGAGGATGTAGGACGTTGAACTATTTCTGCACTGAGAAAAGTGAGCTTTAAAAAACTGAAAATCAGTATTAAAATGAGGGAGCAGAGCATTATTGAAAACATTTAACTCGCAGGAAAAAACACTTGCAATAGTTAAAATGCAGTCAAAAAGAATGCATGGTTTTCTTAAAAGTTTTGCAGCCAGATCATGGTGTACATTAATATTTACTTACTAAAAGAGAAATATTTTAAATTTCCTGTGAAGAAATTGTTAAGTTTATGAAAAACATTGAATCTCCATGATGTCTTTTTATTATGTCCAAAGGCAAACAAGACCATAAATGCAAGACTAAACACTGAGATATTTATAAATAAAGATACATTTAACAAAAGTCAGCAGAATAACATGTTTTTGTGACAAATCTCTACTTAAACTTGTAAAACAAGCAAAGACTGCCTTGGACAGAGGGGGCACCAAAATTAACACCAAGCAAAAGTTACTCATGGGAGCTTTATAAGATTCTCCATGAGGGGAAATATCACCAGGTTGAGCATGCTTTGGCAATTGTCTTTCATTAGTTTCCTTTGCCTGAGAGCCATTGAAACAATTTACTTAAAGCTCCTGCTAAGAACTTCTGGTTGGTGTCAATTTTGATCCCCCCCTCTGGACAAAGCAGTCTTTGCCTGTCTCGTTAAAATTTTACTAAAGTAATACTGCAGATTTTTGCTGATGGCCTTATTTGCTTTTATGGCTTTTTAGTGTCAAAAAAAAATTCTGTCAGTTTTATAACCAGCTAAAACTTCTCACAGTCCCTTTACAAACAAAGATAAATTATTGGTGGTGTTTTTTTTTTTTGTTTGTTTTAGCACATATAAATGAGGTTTTTACAGGTTAGAGAAATGATTATACCTAACAGAGGTTGATAACAAAATAACACCTCATTGAGATCAGTCCCTTGATTTGATAGAGTGAGTTACCTTCATGTAATGAAGGATAAAAAAAAGATAAATGTTTGCTGTGTAGATAAGAAATTATGTCAGTATACTGCTTACTAACTTCTGTTAAAGCTGAAATGAAATGGAAGTAAACTGCAGGGCAACATGAGAGTTATTTCAGACAAAGGCCGGGACCCTGTAACTGGGGCAGCTTTTAACTCTCACACCTGTGCTTTTTCCAACAGTGACATACCTAAGATATCTGCAGAAGAGGGACATCTTAACTTTCTTTTGCTTGACTTCTTGTTTGTTTTGTTACCACAGCAGACTCAGATATATGTGAACTGAGGTAAGGACTTCTTTCTGTTTTCAACAGCAGCTAGAGTAACTATAGCTAACGTATGGCAATGAGGCTAAATGAGGAACTGAGTGGATGCTAAAGTCAGCCTTCAACATTTTCATTTCAGGTGACAGTATTCATAGGTTTTCAGAGGCCAGTTGAAGGCAGATAAAGAGTTGTTGAGCTGTTGATCATTTAATTGCTACTCTGCTGGTGCTCCACATTAATATAATGAGAGTTGAAAATAGGTGGAATAGGTCTCCTCAAATGATCTTTTTCTGCAATCACCTCCCTTTTTTGACCATTTAAATTTATTTCTTACTGAGTCCTTTCAGTGAAAAATCTGAAGGCTGTTCCTGCAGAGTGCTAGAACTCACTCTGCCCGATACTTGCCTGTACTAAACCTCCTTTTAGCTCACTTTACAGGAAATCTCCATCTGTGGTGGCACACAGGCAGTGAACCAAATATGAAAACAGGTGATGTGCGCAGGATATTATGACTCCCCCTGTCCTGCACAGCCTTGTTCTGTCTCATCAGTTTCTGTGCCTGGCTCACTTTCGGTTTATGCTTCGCAGAGGACAAGATGAGAAGATGGAGGACAAACTCATTGTGATGTTGTGTGACTACCCTGAGATGGGTGATATGACTCTTTTTTTCTATTTAAACAGAAAACATTAAAAAAGAGCTTGATTGAACCAAAGAAAGTGAGCGAAGTGAAAACAGTAAAAGTGCTTGCTATGTAGTCAACCTAAACCTTTCTGATGAAAGCACACTGAGACGGCATGAAAGAAATGTGCATCTTTGGGCACTTGTGCAAACGGGACAAATTATTTCCATGAATTCAGCAAGTAAACACCATATATTTAGGTGCCCAAATACCGGAACAATCACCCAGCCCACAGGCCACACTATTTTTATGCCATGAAAACCACTGTAGTCACTGGAGCTATCAGGAGCTTCTCAAAGGCTGCTGGTCCAAGCTTATATAAATGATGTAGCTACAGGGTCGAGCCTACACAGAAGTAATTTTTTTGTTGTTGTGGGGCTTAAAATTTCCATGCTGAAGGTCAACGCCATCAACACTCATTTCTCTCTTTTTAGTCTTTTCAGTATTGCAAATGAAAGAGGCATCTTTCATCTCATCTGTCTATCAAACCAGTTACTGCGAAATGTCCTGCCAGATTACTGTCCAACACAACACTGTAACTGCTTCTTTTTTAAAACACAGAATATTTCAAAAAAATCTTTCTTTTGCAACAGAAAACCACCCAGTTTATATTTGTCAAAAAGCCTTATGTTATATTCGGCATTGGATTGCTTCAAAGCACAAGTTTTTACAGAAACATTAAAGAGGGGTATGATGCTTATTTGTTTCTTTTTATTGTCTTCTATATTTCTATTTCTCTATATCGTCCCTCTGAAAGCTTCTTAGTGGCTTTACACAATTTACTGTTCAATCAGAATCAGAATTGGAATCAGAATCGCCTTTATTGTCATTGTACACAGTAAAACAAAATTTGAGCGCTGCTCCCTTTGGTGCAAAACAATAGTATTTAAATAAAAACCACTAAAAACACAAAGATAAGGAAAAAAAAGGCAGTTATATATACAGATATTTACAAACAGGATATGATATGAAAACCTGATTATTGCACACACACACACACACACACACACACACACACAAAAAAAGAAACTCTGAGCATGTTTCAGGTTGCGATCTTTAAAAGCCCTCATTTCAGCCCCTGTCTGAGACGCTTCATTCACTGTCCCAATCTTGCTGAAATCTTATGCGACTCTTTAAACCAGCCATTCAGAGCACCCTAGAGTCCCATCTGGGGACTACTTTAACACATAATAACCTTGAAATCTAAAACTTTGCTGATGTATATACTGACAACCGACATCTTGATTTTACATCTTATTTCAAAGTATGAAAATATATTACCACTGAAAAACACCATAACAGTATCACAACACTTACCTGTTTAACCTGAACATAATACATTTTGTGTAATCTGTCACTGGGTTTAACACTCTTCATTCAAAACATAAGTTTTATAAAACATTTTTAATTCCAATGCGAGGAAAGCCTTGTTGTGATGTTGGTCACTACACTGCTTCATCAGTCTGTGTACAGTTTCACATGTAAGAAAACTAAAGCAGCTTTGTCAGTCTTTTTGATGAAAGGAGCATCAGAATTTTGTCACCTGGTCACAACAACAGTATCTTTTCCACAAATCCTTAGTATAAGTTTCAATCACTTCACCAGGAGTATATGGTGTATGGCGATGATGTGACATCCTGATGTACTGTGGTGGCTAGATGAGCAAAAACTAGCCGTTGAGGTTTGATGTGCTCAGGATTTTAAATTTTTTCTACAGAGTCTAGAAAAGAAGACAAGATGGTCTCATTAATACGTGTTTACCTGTAGGTCAGTGTGCACTTGGCTTTACTTTTCTTCTTTTCTGTTACACTGAACAGTTTTGTGCTCCTACCCTGGACTGCGTGCAGTCATGGTGTCATGTAAACCCATGCAGGCTGAGCATATATACAATTATATTAATACATGACAGAATAATAAATCTATCTGAGACTTCATGAAGCAATAGATGCTTTCTATTTTACTGACGCCAAGTTTTCTGAAAAAAAAAATAAAAAAACTAAAATCCTCCTCTTTTTCTTTTAAATGTCTCTGATGTTTTTAAGTGTTTTAATTTGTTGGGGGTGAGACTGTCTGCTGTCAGCGTTTTCCGGTACTAAAGACATTGTGCCCTCCTCACCTCCCGCTGTATTTACTGAGATTTCCTTCGTAAACAGATTGTCTTGGCGACTTAAAAATGACCACTTGTCCAAATCGGTTTGGGAGAATCACCTGTTTTGCTTTTCGTCCCCGTCTTACATCTCTGTTTAGGCAGACCATAGACTGTACGCGGAGATATACCGGTGCAGTGAGTGCCCGGTTTGTTTATCATTCCGCCCTGAAAAAGATTCCGACGTCAAGACAAAAGTTCCGCACTACATGTTCCCCCGGCCACTCGTGCCTCTTCTATTATGTCTCACAGAGACAGACAAAATGGAAGTAAGTGTTCACTACTTAATAGCAGGCCACTGTCATCTAAACAATCACCAAGATTGATAATACCATCAATGAACAAATTTTGCTTTCAGGTAGATTTTCTACCAATGATTATGTCTCTGTTGCTCCATACGACAGACTTGTGGAGAAAAGTTATGAGAGAAGCATCACTTCCTCATAAAGGCAGCTTCTTGAGCAAGCAAAAATTTAAGACCTGTGCAACATAACGAGAGTACACTTCCATTTTAGGAGGGACTTTTCTTTAAAAATTACAATTTCGAGGCAGACGTTCTAAGGACTTCCTGAGCTTTTAGAGCTAGCCTTAAATGAACACATTAGGTCGTTTAGCACTTCCACATTGGTTAGTTTTTCCACAACAAAGAATTGCCACTGTAAAGTAGTGAAGTACAAATCATGAGTACAAGCTCTCTGGTAAAGTCCAGTCTGTTGCACTCCAAGGTGTTAATAAAACCTTAAGTGTGGGGAAAAGGAGTCCCACATTATTATTTAGGCCCCTGCTTTTTACTCAACATAATATTTCTTTATTAGTATCCCTTTTGATTTTGATGAAACAACATTGCAGTCAAATAAAAACCATATGCATTTCATTTTGTTTCAGAGCCACAATGTTAACATAGACCCTGTGTAGCTGAGACCAAAATAAACAATTGACACCCCCCACCTCACTTTCATGGAGTCATGGTAGTGCAACAAAGAAGACTGACTCTGTAACAAGATAAAAGTAAGTAAATCTGGGGATACAAAGAGAAATTTATTTTCATCATCGGCTTAAGAAGAAAAAGCGAAAGCAACTGTACAGAATAAGCATAATGAATGTTAAAAAAATACAGAAAATATCACAAAATACATTTGTTCGGTTGTGCATGAAAAATTACCATAATATCAAAGACAAATTTATCTGTATTGCACCTGCTTGGAGTGTACAAAGTGCTTTTCATAAAACAACAAAGAACAGTTTAAAAAGGAAATCAACAAATATTCCTCCATCTATGTAAAGGTAGAAAGGTAAAACTGAAACATTTATCCTCAATCAGCAAAACACAAAAATTAGGGAAACATTTTGCAGCAAATTGTAAATGTCTTGGCTCAAAAATTCAAACATTTCCTGCAAGTTAGTTTTATTAATAAAAAAATATCTGGAGAGATTTTCTTTGAGGAGAAACTAGCAGCTACAGCTCTAATTCACGTTTGAAGAGTAAGTTGTTGACAAATTTCTCGATAAAACTTGCTTCGAAAGAAAGAAAATTGAATGGAAATAAAAGGCTCAAGTACACTAAAAGTACTTCATATTTGTTCTTGGTATGATCCACAGTCATCACCCCACCACAGGTAAAAACAGAGTAAAATAGCAGTATCAACAAATCACGCTTGAGGATTGTTTGGACAAATAATTAGTTGTGACAAACTTTATAATCAGGTCATGTCTCTGATTATTTGGGATGGCAAATTCAGCTCATAATTTAGCCTGAAACTGTGTCGTGTGAGGCCAGTCTTGAGGTCTGTGCACACTGAGTGAGTCTGGGTGGTGCTTGGCTCAAGCTCTGAATTCAGACAGCAGTGTTTGTCTAATCTACATCGGGCAGATACACTGTGGAATCAGGTAAACAGAGCATAAACCCAGGATAAAGACATTCAGTGAATGTAGTGTTGAATGTGTGAAGGTGGATCAGAGTGTCATTGGTGATGCTATAAAAGGACAGTGTGCCAGCAGGGCAGTCCAAAAACACTGCTACTCTATCAGAGACAGGGAACAAGGGAATCTGTGTTACTTTCTTATTGTGCCAGCACGAGTAACCTTTGCTGGAGCAAGACAGACTCCAAGAGAGCTTGTTTTTTCCAAACAAACATTCATCTCTGTCACCTCTCCTCTTGATTCCTCTGTAACTCACTGAAATCTCAACATCTTCTGTCCACTCAACCTCCCAGTAACAGCGACCAGTCAGACCAGTCCCACACAGCACCTGAGAACAGTTGTAAAATCTGTCTGGATGATCAGGATATGACTGATCCTTTCTCACCAGTGTCACCCTCCTGTTCTCATCAGACAGTCTGAGCTCTCTGTTCATTGTGTTCATGTCAAGTTGCAGCTCACAGGCATCTGATGGAGAGAATAAAGTTAATAAACTTGACTGACAGCTATTCAGAGTCAATCAAGAGTACACTTCATATCACTGTTAATAAGATCAGAAGAACTTTATTTAGAACTTTATTTATTAAATTTGATGGTGTTTCGCAGTATAAGGATTTCTATAATTATAAGGATTATAATAAAGATTTTTTTCGTAAGCTTAACTTAATCATGATATTCTAATTTACTAAAATGTCCCTGAAGACTAATATAAACATATTCATTACATAAATTATTCCTCAAATTCAACAGAGTTCATGTGCAGCCGTTTCCTCGTGTGTTAAACTTAAAATACTCACACTTTCTCAGACCAGGTTTTAGTCTGTGTGGTCCACCATGGTCCAATCTGGAGACAGATACAAGAGCTATTAGTGTGCTGATGCTCATGCTATACTCGTGCTGATGTCAATACTAAATGAATTTTGACACACTATCATAGACCATTTACCCCTGGTAAAAATACATCGACAGACTCTATATTAGAGATCTGCAGACTAAAGCCAAGGCCATAAAAGGCTTATTTATAATAAAACCCCATCCCCCTTTATAACACAAAATAAGCAGACTTACAATTGAAAAGCTAAAACAAAATATCTTTTATGGGCTTTTCAGGGTTTTGCTTTGACATTATTCCTCTGACTTCAGCAATGATCTTGAAATAGAACAAAGCACAAGCGGTTATGGGTTTGATGCGGCTCTCAAGTCCTAGCTGTAGAAGATGTGGGCTTGGGGTAAGAGATGACAGTCTTTCTGTGGCCTGATGACAATAATGGCAGTCTGATCTTTGTTAAATTAAGTTTTGCTGCAGTCACTCATTTGCGTGAAATAGTTTGATAGAGGTTTAGTGGATCATGATCTGCAGGTGCAAGTAAAATGTATAGGGGAGACTGGGGCTTGTTGTCACACTTTTTACACTCTTGTATATTTCTTGCAATCAGTACATAACATATAAACAAAAATGTGTACCAGATGAAAGACCAAAGTCTCAGGTATATAATTTGATAATTGATATCAAATGATTGCATTTGATAATTTGTAATCTGACCTTAGAGTTTCATATCTTGTGTTAGTGCAGAAATATAAGCAATCAAATAGAGAGTGTGAACATGTGACAGGTTGCCCTGCCATCGGGTAAGTTGTCTCAGTACATTAGATGTCACAGTGGATTTTGCAGCTAATAAAACAAGGACAAAATTATTGTTGTTCTCATTGTTTTACATGAACGTGAACATCAAAGTCAAGCACAGAAAATGTTTATCATTGAGCTAGAAAAAGTCATTACACATAGCCATTGAACAAAGGTTAACATAAAATATTATGCAACATTCTCTGGAGTTAGTAGAGCAGTCTGACTCTGTATTTTGGCTTGGGTGATTATGTTGTAGTACCGAGCCATGGTATGGTATTTGACATTAAAGTCCTTTATTGTACTCTGGATTGATGTATTAGCTCGGGTCACCTGCCTGACTGCCCTCAGCATCACCTCAGGTACTGCACTGCCACATTCTGTTTTTCTTTTGTAAATCCTGACCATGTCTCCTCGTTTTCTCCTCTCCTTTAAACCACTTTTTTTCTGTAAAAATAAAGTCAAAATTTCATCATGACAACTGCTGATAAGCAGACTCTCTATGTTAATTTTAATTATTTTTAAACATGTGACAACTAACCCTAAAATGACTGAGACATGTTGCCCCAAACTACCATGTCTGCTAATTCTAGCTCTAGCTTAAAGTTAGTTTAAAACAGAACGATAACTGAGGTATGACAGGATGCCTTAATCTCTCCCCTAACAAGTCCACATGTATCACTGCTAGGATTTTTATCTGGAAGAAGCTTATTTTAAAATATATGAAGTTAAAAATTTTTACTTTGGGTTGTGCGAAATGGTTAATTGGTGCTTATCTCAGCTCACAATGTGCTCTTCTCTTCTCAGACAGGACACAACCCCTGACCATGTAAAGGAAGAAAACTAGTATTTCACTTTTTAGTTGCACCCTCTGGTGGCAAAGATAATTGCAATGTGACAACTTATCCATGTGACAACAAGCCCCAGTCGTCCCTTTTTGCTATCATCTGCACAGCCAGGTATGCCATTTTATGATTCTATGTGACTTGGCCTAATGAAATTAAACTGATACTGAGCAGTAGAGGTCCCAAAACAGAGCCATGTGGAAACAAATGGCACTAACACAGTCACCAGTTAATACAAAGTACTTTCTGTCATCAAGATATAATTCAAACCACAGAAGGATCTAATCTTATTAAATGAATTTATCAAATGGTCATTTACACTCCTATGTAAAGGTTGAGGACATTTGTGTCCTCACATGCACAAAGGAAAGAATGATTTGATTTAGAATTATTCTCGTGTATTTTTGTTAATATCCGCTTTTCAACATAAACCAAAGTTACTCAGTTCAAGAAAGTGATGATGAGCTTCTATCTTTAAGTACCTCAGTTTCTCAAGACTGCACCGTGAATACTCCAATGCAGCAGAAAGCAGGTCCTCCCCCACTTTTCCTGGATGATTGTAACTTAAGTCCAGCTCCCTTAGGCGAGAGGAGGTCAGAGCTGCGGCCAAAGAAGCACAGTCTTCCTCTGTGATCCGACAGCCTGACACACTGCACACATACACATAAACAGACACACACACTTATGTCTTCCAGGTAAGACTTTCTTCTACAGCAGTACATTCACAGGATGGAGGCCTGCTTGCAGTATGTGAAGTCTCTAAAAGTATATCAGTAAGTTCAATAATTGTACTTCCTGTAGCGAGTTCACTTCAGCGTGTTACTATCAGCACTGGGCACATTTCCATTTGGCAGTAAATTACAAGAATGCCCCTGACTGGGCTTTGTTTTTTTCCTGCAAGTTTTTGAGCTCTCTTTTTTTAATGCTCCTGTAAATCTCAGTTTAAGAAACCAGATCTGTGGACTTCAAATCACTGGAGCAGTATTTGAACCAGCCTGCTTGCTAGGTTCAGAGATGGCCCAGCAAATCTGTGACAAACAATGGGAAATGGTGCTAACTGATATCTTTCCTGGTTTGCATAAATTTCTGGTGACATATTCAAATCCTCTCATCACTAGATATATAGGTGACAAGTCATTCCTGTGGCTGTACTACACAACCAGATTCAGATGTAATATTTTGGCTGCTGCCTCTGTGAAATATTAATTGAGTAGTATGATGATGAAGAAATGTATATGAGAAAAAATAATGGCACATTCTAGATATGATATGACTGACAGGAGGTTGCATCATCTCTGAGACGGGATGCTAACAGCCCAGTGACAAGTAAGTTTCTCTCATCTCTGATGTGCTATTTTTGATGTTTTTCCAAGGTTTAACCAGGGGGGACAAGCATACAACATCAACCCTGTTACCAATTTTAACATATAAACCTAAACAATTTTCTGTTTCTCAAAATATAATCAATATCTAAAGGTAAATACCTTTTAAAGTACCTAGCTTGCACTTTAGCTAGCACTTATTTAAGCCACAGGCAAATTAGCTTAAAACGGTCAACCCTGTTACTGTCAACCCTGTTACCGTTCTACAGTAACAGGATTTGACATGTGAGTAACAGGGATGGCATAGAGTAGTGTTTACCCCCGTTGTACTCTCTCAACCTTTTAAAATTTAAACATATTTAGTTCATCATGTGAGCATTATTGAGCTAATATCCATATTATTTGGTAAGTTTCATTGTTCATTGTTCCTATGCTCCTATGGGTATTTAATGTAAGGCAGTAATGTTTCAGAACTCATACCGTCTCATTACTGTGTTGTGTGATTGTATATGTACACTATAATACACTTTTACAGATGCAAGTAGTATGCCACTGAGTGCAGCAGAGAAGCAAAAGTGCTACCAAGCTCACAGAGATGCAGATCCTGAAAGAGGGGACAAGGTACCTTAAATGGGAGCAGAAGAAATGGTTGAGAGACAAGGAGCAGGGGAAGAGAAATTGCATAATTAATACAATTTGTTACCTCTTTCAAGGTGAAGATGAGGATTTTGATATTGACATGTAAAAATTGACAACTCAAATGGACTTTCAACACTTACCATTATAATTTATACTACATTATAGTTTAGATTAGGCCATTTTCAACATTTCTCTTCTAAAAAATATCTGATATATGTTGAGACATGTGATCGCCATGTACAATTAGGGTACATTTGATCATCTGAATGACAAATATCTAATTGGAGAAAAAAATCCACAAAATAAAATAACCTCAATGGAAAGAGAGACTAAAGTCCTGCTAATATATGTATCATATATTGCACATTTATAATTAGAAATATTGTGTTTTGTTAAATTTATGTAACAGGGTCGACAAAATTATGAAAACAGCCAGGAGAAAAACAGTTATAAAATATGAAATAACACAGCCTGAGATGGCACAATATAATTTCCTGTCATTTTAAACATTCTTTGATTCCTGGCTACTTAAAAATTAACAATTTAATAAAGTTTCAATTTAAAATTTTCCAAGTTAAAAAGGCACCGATTTCATGGAATTACCCATATACAAATACATAAGAGAGCGAGAGAGAGGGAAAGAAAGAGAGAGAGAGAGAGAGAGATCAAATTTAATGATTGCATTTGATAATTTGTAAGCTGACCTTAGAGTTTCCAATCTGCAGTGTGGACTCTTGAGTCCAGTGCACAGCTGCTCCACTCCTGAATCCTGCAGGTTGTTGTTGGTCAGGTCAAGGTTTCTCAGACTAGAAGTCTCTGAGTGGAGAACTGAAGACAGGGTCTCACAGCTTTCCTGTGTTAGTCCACAGCCACTCAGCCTGAAAAGAAAACTATTCAGGTAAGATACAACATAAATTCAACAAATGATGTCAAGGCCAGTGAAACTTTACCTAAGAGTTTGTAGTGTACAGTGTTCACTCATAAGCCCTTCAGATAGCATGAATACTCCAGCATCCTGCAGGTCGTTGTTACTCAGGTCCAGCTCTGTCATATAACAGGACTCTGAGCTGAGAACTTCACTTAGAGCATTACAGCTTGTGTTTGTCAGTTCACAGCAACTCATCCTAAAGAAGATTCAAATGGTTATAAAGAGACAAAGAAATACACTTTTTTTAAACTACAGTAAACACATTTTAATCTGGAGAAGTACACCTGCACTTACAGTGCTTTCTTTGACACCTTGACTACTGGCAGCAGCCTCAGAAGTGCGTCCTCTGAAGCAGAGTATTTTTTAAGGTCAAATACATCGAGGTCTTCTTCTGATGTCAACATGATGAAGACCAGAGCTGACCACTGAGCAGTAGACAACTCATCTGTGCAGAGATTTCCTGATATCAGGTTCTGTTGGATCTCCCCCATTAGAGATTGATCATGTAGCTCATTGAGACAGTGGAACAGGTTGATATGTTTCTCTGTAGACCAAGTCTGATTGATCTTTTTCTTGATGTAAGAGACAGTTTCCTGCATGGTCTCTGGGCTATCCTCTGTCCATGTCAGCAGACCCTGAAGGAGAGTCTGATTGGTTTGCAGTGAAAGGCCCAGGAGGAAACGGAGGAACAAGTCCAGGTGTCCATTTAGACTCTCTAAAGCTTTGTTCACAGCGCTCTGGTAGAATCCTGGTGGCTTACTGTGTTGACCAAAAAATGAAAAACACCAGGATGTTGGTTGTTCTTCATACATCAGATTGACTCCATAGTTGATGAAGGTCAGATGGACATGGAGAGCAGCCAGAAACTCCTGAACACTCAGATGGACGAAGCAGAATACCTTGTCCTGGTAAAGTCCTCTCTCCTCTTTGAAGATCTCTGTGAACACTCCTGAGTACACTGAGGCTGCTCTGACATCGATGTCGCAGCTTATCAGGTCTGATTCATAGAAGATCAGGTTTCCTTTCTGCAACTGTTCAAAAGACAGTTTTCCCAGAGATTTGATTATCTCCTTGCTCTCTGGACTCCAGTGTGGATCTGCCTCGACCCCTCCATCATATTTGACATTCTTCAGTTTGGACTGAACCACCAGGAAGTGGATGTACATCTCAGTCAGTGTCTTGGGCAGCTCCTCCCTCTTGGTGGTCTCCATCACATCCTCCAGAACTTTAGCAGTGATCCAGCAGAAGACTGGGATGTGGCACATGATGTGGAGGCTTCGTGATGTCTTGACATGGGAGATGATTCTGTTGGCTTGATCCCTGTTTTTGAACCTTTTATGGAAGTACTCCTCCTTCTGAGGGTCAGTGAACCCTCTGACCTCTGTCACCCTGTCAACACATTCAGGGGGGATCTGACTGGCTGCTGCAGGTCGTGTGGTTATCCAGAGGCGAGCTGAGGGCAGCAGATTACCTCTGATGAGGTTTGTGAGGAGCACATCCACTGAGGTGGACTCTGTGACATCTGTCACGACCTCATTACAGTGGAAGTCCAGAGGAGGGCGACACTCATCAAGACCGTCAAAGATGAACATAACTGGGAAGTCTTCGAATCTGCTGGACTCTGCAAATTTGAAAAGCTCCGCAGAAGCAGGAACATGTGTCTTTGCTTTCATGTGACCTGCTTCTTTGCTCACAGGTAACAAGTAATGAACAAGCTCCACCAAGCTGAACTCTTTCTCTTTCAAAATATTGAGCTCTCTGAAGGTGAACGGAAATATGAAGTGGATGTCCTGGTTGGCTTTGTCTTCAGCCCAGTCCATGATGAACTTTTGTGTCAAGACTGTTTTCCCAATCCCAGCTATTCCTTTTGTCAAGACAGTCCTGATTGGTTCATCTCTTCCAGGTGAGGCTTTAAAGACGTCTTCTTGTTTGATTCTTCTTTCTGGTCTGGCTGGTTTCCTTGATGCTGTTTCGATCTGTCTGACCTCATGTTCATAAATCACCTCTCCAGCTCCTCCCTCTGTGATATAGAGCTCTGTGTAGATTTGTTGAAGAAGTGTGGGGTTTCCTGCTTTAGCGATGCCCTCAAACACACACTGGAACCTGTTCTTCAGGTAAGACTTGAGTGTGTGCTGGTATGCTGGAACAGCAGTTTCTGAAAGAGCAAAAAAAAAAAGATATCATTAAATCTTGCAGAGTGTTATGAAACTGTGTTGGCGCAGTTCTTCCTCTCCCTTCAGTTCTATTTGGCCTTCAGATGTATAATTTATAATCTGTTTAAACACTAAGTTTCATTTAAAAATAATAGTGCACAGACAACAAAATTCTTAAAGGGTATCCCGGCATGAAATTAAGTTAGGGTCAAACACACCGTAACACCGAGTTAGACACCCCGTCAAGAGATGAATGTTGCCAATCACCTGCTTCTCTTATTATACCAGCTTTAGTAACAACCGCAGGACAGCAATATAGAGAGCCATGTGCTCAACCAAAAAGCCACTCTATAGCAACAAATAATATTCAGAACAGCGCCTAACTTTATAAACAGTACATATAGTGTCCCAGCCATAGTACAAGCCACCAAACATCTTTTTAATTTTGCCTAATTTCTTAAGCAAAGAGACTAAACACAACTCACCCACTCTCTTCAAGCGGCCGCTTGTTTGTTGCGAGACCTCGGGGTGAGTACATCGACTGCAGCAGGGTGACGCAGCTCAAGGGAGAACATTTATGATAATTTCTTTATCATTTCCTTGAAGTAATAATCATCATATTGATGATTTTGCACTGTAGACTTCCTTGAGCTGCGTCCCCCTGCTGCAGTCGATGGACTCACCTGAGGGTTTGCTACAAACAAGTGGCTGCTGGAAGAGAGTAGGTGAGTTGTGTTTAGTCTCTTTGCTAAAGAAATCAGGCAAAGCTAAAAAGATGTTTGGTGGCTAGTACTATGGCTGGGACCCTATATGTCCTGTTGATGAAGTTAGGTGCTGTTCTGAGCATTATTTGTGGCTATAGAGTGGCGTGTTGGTTGAGTGTGTGGCTCTCTGTATTGCTAGCGTGCGGTCATTACTAAAGTTAGTATTACTAGAGAAGCAAGCGGTCGGCAACATTCATCTCTCGACGGGGTGTCTAACTCGGTGTTATGGTGTGTTTGACCCTAAATTAATATATTACGCCGGAGTATCCCTTTAATAAACAAAACTGAAAATTTTGTTTATTTGCACCACTTCTTCAGTGTTTTGTTGTCTCTATTCCAATAGTTTTTACAAGTGTTGCTGGCATCAAATTTAGAATTGAGAATACAGCAGAATACAGTTTTACACCAAAAGAAAATTGTTTGCAACATTTCATTAGTTGTCTTTGCACTGTTTTCACTTAAATCCAAGGTTTCAATATTTCAAACAATGACAAGCTGTTTCAACATTTATCATCGTCCCAACATTTTTGGAATTGGGGTTGCAGATGTGGAGTTTTGAACCTCAATTTCTTTTTATTGATATTTAATCTGTTTAAGAAAAGCTCTTACTGCTCTGAACACGATCTGCCAGTTCCTCCCGCTCCATTCTCCTCAGGAAGTTTATTGTGATATTCAGAAAAGCCTCCCTGTTTTTCCACGTTTGCTCCTCATCTTCACCATTCGACACTTCCTCATTCTCACTCTGAGTCTCGAAGCTTGTAGGGTAATCTAGACTGAGAATCCTCTTGAGAGCCCTCAGCTCGTTTTTCACAAAGGTGACAATGTTTTTCTCAAGTACCTGGAAAAAAAACATTTTTTTCTTTGTAAGTTATATTTTCAGGTTTTTTAAACCATTGTTAAGAGGATAGGATTGATCTTTTACTCCTCATTGAACACGACAGGTGATTTGACAGTCTGTTTAAGACTATTTCATACTAAAATTGTGACAAACACACCATGAATGCAGAGTCCAGGTCTGTTTGATGTTGCTGAGTTGGCTGATTAATTGGTACCTCTGAGGTTTCCTGTTGAAAGCTGTAAAGGAAACATAAAGCTGAATGATACTGCAACAAAAAGTGCTCTGACATTCAACAAAAAACTAGAGGGAAAAGTGTTTGTGTGTCACAGGCATCATTTTAACAACATTACAGAACTATCAGAGTACACTAAGTAGTGATGCATAACCTACTGAACCTTAGGAGGAAAAAATAAGTTCCAAGAGGCAAAGAGGATCTAATGAAAGGCAGAGATAAGCCCACTGAAAAACTCATAAAATTGGCTGTGGAGTCTGGTCAGTTTGAGTAAGAGGGTCAGAGATGGCAGCTGTATAAACATGGTGAAAATGACTGATCGAAAATAGTATAATGCCAATCTGATGTCACAATGCTTTGTTCTCTCGAGAGTGGAAAATTCATATATTTTTTTAAAAATCATACCTTGCATCAACAGGTTGTCCACTTTTTAAGTCAATAGGAAGATCTTTGGAGCGATCACGCTTCATGGACACAGAGCTGGGTCCACCGGAGCCTGGACTCTGCTGCTGCATCCTGACACAAACAAACATCACTTTTAAGAGCTGCAAGAGGATTCACAAGCTGCCCGTTGGCCAAATAAAAACCACAAAGAACAACAGCATTAACCTTTCCAAAGTTCCAAAGATCCAAAGATAGTGTACGATTTGAATGACTCCAAGAATAAACCTACAACACCTGAAAACAATAAAGACCATTGCAAGCAGCTCTGATTTTATATGAGTTTAGATGCTGAGTTAAATGTTGAGTAAAAGGAATTGGATTGTGTGCAAATCACTTAAAGGCACTGTTTAAGTGAAAAAAAGTGTAAATACCACATGTCTAATATTGACAGTAAAAAAATGTTTTTACGGGATGTAAAAAAAACGTAATAAATGCTTAAATAATAAAAACACTTCCTGGAATGAGAAGATAACATATGCCATGACAAATGACACAGGGACAATAAAGGCTGATCAAGATGGACATGTACTGTTTGTACAAATTTCATTTGACTGATGATTCTAGGTGACTTGCATACCATCTAAACTTTTTTGTAACATTTCATATAGCTCTCCAATTCTTCTAAATTTTGGTTTAACTTTTTATCTTATTAATTGCCTTATTTATTTAATTAAGACAATTGTACAAGGCTGTGGAGTCAGGTCAATTTCAGTAAGAGGGTCAGAGATGGCAGCTGTTTGAACATGGTGAAAATGACAGATCGAAATAGTATGTTGCCAATCTGATGTCACATTTTTTGTTCTCTGGAGAGTGGAAAATTCATATTTTTGTTTTAAAACATCGTACCTTTCATCAACAGGTTGTCCACTTTTTAAGTCAATAGGAAGATCTTTGGATCGATCACTCTTCATGGACATACAGCTGGGTCCACCAGAGCTTGGACTCTGCTGCTGCATCCTGACACAAACAAACATCACTTTTAAGAGCTGCAAGAGGATTCAAAGAAGGTTGGACAACACAAGCTGCCCATTGGCCAAATAAAAACCCCAAAGAACAACAGCGTTAAGCTTTCTTAAGTTCCAAAGATAGTGTACAATTTGAATGACTCCAAGAATAAACCTACAACATCTAAAAAGACTGAAGACCAGTGCAAGCAGCTCTGATTTTATACGAGTTTATATGAGTTTAGAGTTAAATGTTGAGTAAATGGAATTGGATTGAGTGCAAATCACTAAAAGGCACTGTTTAATTGAAAAAAAGTGCAAATACTAAATGTCTAATGTTGAAAGTGAAAAATGTTAATTGATGAAAAAATACATGCTTAAATACTAAAAACACTTCCTGAAATGAAAGGAAGAAACACATGCTAAGAAAATGACACAGGAACGACAAAGGCTGATCAAGATTAACATGTACTGTTTGTACGAATTTCATTTGAATGATGATTCTAGGTGACTTGCATACCATCTAAACTTTTTTTAACATTTCACATAGCTCCCCAATTCTTCTGATTGGTGGTTTAACTTTTGTTACATTGTAATTCATTGTCTTATTTCAGACAATTGTACAAGGCTGTGGTCAGTCAGGTCAGTTTGCGTAAGAGGGTCAGAGATGGCAGCTGTTTGAACATGGTGAAAATGAATAATTGAAAAAGTGTGTTGCCAATCTGATGTCACAATGCTTTGTTCTCTCGAGAGTGGAAAATTCATATATTTTTTTTTAAATCATACCTTGCATTAACAGGTTGTCCACTTTTTAAGTCAATAGGAAGATCTTTGGACCGATCACTCTTCATGGACACACAGCTGGGTCCACCGGAGCCTGGACTCTGCTGCTGCATCCTGACACAAACAAACATCACTTTTAGAAAACTGTGACATGTCATCTAGTAGTGATTAGCACATGACACTATGAGTGTGAAAACTGATGGTGGAGTAGGGTGTGCTGTGCTGTGTCTTGGAGATTAGTCATAGACAATTCTCACCTCAGATCTCGGTGTCCCCCAAACAGAGGTTTTAGAGGAAGGGGCTACCTCATCTAGAGAAGAGTCTCCTCCTGCTTTTTAAGCTGTAAATAAGAAATCAGCATCAAGGTAGTTATTAAGAGTTCAATTAGCCAGACAGCTGACTTTGCTCTTGTCTTTTATGATACAATTAAGGGGCTCCAAGGAAAAAGCTGGTCTGGATGAAGAAGGCCTGACATCAGGAAATGCTAATGCATACACTGAGAATAGTGACTTTTTAGTGCAGTGAACTCTATTAGAGTAACTGTCATAATTTCTACCTTGTATTTTAAATGTTCAGTAAGAACTAGAGTTTCTTAAGTAAAATAAAAAAACATTTTTTTAAATGTAATACATGAACTATGAGAGAAAAGTACATCTTTACCACCACCAAGGTGTGAGCGACCGAATGATGTATCCAATATAAAGCGCTTTGAGGGTCTCTGATAATGTGCAATATGAAAGTAAATTAAAATGTCAAGCACATGAAAATAATTAATACCTGCTTTTCATAACAGCAAATACTACAGAGATCTAAAATGTAAATTTTGAGTAAAATGGGGATAACATAATTGAGATCATTGAGTAAAATGAGAAAAACAAGTAGACTGTACTTAATTTGTTTAAATAAATATAACTTAAAAAACTTTGAATGTAATTAAGTAAATGTTACTTAATATCACAACTGTTATGTTTTATGTAAAGTAAAATGTACTTGATACTGGCAAGTGAGTGTGACTTGATATTGCTGCATTAAATGTTACTTAAATCATCTGCGTGCAAATACTTACGATATATTTTTAAGTAAATCTTCTGAGCTATTTTTTTCAGTGTAGTTGTTGTGGTCTCAAGTCTAGGTGCTGTACAGCGAACAGATATCAAAGTTCAAAATTCTAGACCTAGGCCTACTTTCATTTCTCCAGCGCACTTTGGTTAAATTTATGTGAAAAGGACATTGGATCTTGCCATTAACATCAGGTTCTCGCATAAATGTTATTATCTTGTGTTTACAATACTGCGCAGCTATTTGTAACAGGAGACATACTGTATTAATATGCGAACACGACAAATATAAGTGACTGAGGCCATGTTTTTCATATGTCATAGACCTGGTCTGAGAAATTCATTTACCTTTTTGTTACTTTTACCAATGATTTTTGTGAGTAAAACCGCTGTTTTTGCCTGAGACGGGGTCACTGATACCAGTGCGCAGTTACTTACCGTCCTGGAGTCCTCGCCTCACTTTCTCCTGAGAGGAAGACTTACTTCACCAACGTTCAAAAACGCTACAATACCCGACTGTCTAATCCCATTAGGTTTTATATGTTTCAGCTATTTTACACTCATCTGACTGATTGAGAGCTAAAGTGTGAGCATACTAACCAAAACTTTGACGTGGAGAATTGAAAGTGAAAGTTGATTAGGTACACCACTGATTTTAGTGGCTGGTGTTTAAAATGTTGTCCAAATGTATCTTTGTATCTTGTCCTCTAGATGGAGTTGCTGTACCACATAACCAGTTTCAGACTATGTCTGACAAAACAAGTATATGAATCAATCAATCAATCAATTAGTCAATCATAATAAACCCTTTTTGTTGGTTTCCTGTTCACAATGCTGTATGTACACACTTACTGCCAAAAGATGGAGCTAAAGTAATATATATTTGTGGCTGATAAATTGTGCAGTGAAAAACTGGCATGATTCACTGGTTTCTGTTCAGAGCAGGAACGTAGATATTGATGATCTGTTGTAAAACAAACACATGACGCAGAAGTTTGTCTAGTCTAGTGTATGGATTAAGATTGGTTAACAACAGAGTCAAAATGTCTTGCATTTACTCTTCTGTAGCCATCCACAATGATGCCATGTATTTTTTTTAATTTATTTTTTTTGACAAAAACACTACATTCTGTAGCACAAAACCATCTTTATTATTTGGACTTCTCTGAATTCATTGTGAAATATTCAATATGGAAACTTCAAAAGAAGGATCCACTGACACTGCTTTCATAATAAAACACTCTTCTGAGGCTGAGAGGAGCAAAACTCAACATTGCACTCATAAGAAGCAAGATTTTTTTTCAATGAAAAGGTCATTATGATTTCATTCATAAAGGTTATCAGCTAAATCCTTTTTGCCATTTAATCACTCATGACCTTCGTCCTTCTACATCAGGTGTGATTTCAACATAAAATAGGATTAAATGAATGTAAAACATACAACATCGTAATGTTCAAGAGAATATCACACAGTCCAGTGGCGCAGTTATTAATAAGATTCAACCTCTTGGTCACTGTAATAAATTATTCAGCCTTCCTCACCAAGAGCTTCTTTTTGTAATTTTCCATTTTTAGAACATAATTCTCAATAAGTATCCGCACAACCAGAGCTCAGATTTCAAAATAAAGCTAACAAGGAGTGATAGGACTGAATCCTAGGCTCCTAAACCTGCACTGATTGCATGGATGTTGCATTCATCCAAATAAAAGATAAATAAATAATAATGCAAAAATGTGTCTTGGTGTTGTCTTGTTGAAATATGCAGGGACATCCCTGAAAAAGATGTGGCTCTGATGGCAGCGTGTGTTGCTCCTACACCCGCATTTACCATTCAGCATTAATGGAGCCTTAACAGGTGTGAAAGTTAGCCACACCGTGGGCATTAACACACCCTCAGACCATCACAGATGCTGGTCTTTGAACTTTGACCTGATAACAATCTAGATGATCCTTTCTTATTTAGGACACTATGTCCATGTTTTCCAAAAAACACTTATGTGCAGAGATTTTTCTGGATTCTCTGAGTCTTTTTTATAGTATTTTGGACTGTAGATGATAAAAATTTCTAAAGTCATTATGATTATATGTTAAGAAACACTCTTAAACTGCTGGACTATTTGCTTACACACTTGCTCACTAAGTGGTGAACCCTGCCCCATCTTTGCTTGTGAAAGACTGAGCCCTTCTGGGATGCTCCTTATATACCCAATCTGGACACTCACCTGCTGTAATTAACCTGTTCACCCGAGGAAGGATCCAGGCAGGTGTTTTTGAGCAGTTCTCAATTGCTTCAGATTTTTGTCCCAACTTTTTTGAAAATAAATGAATATTTGCTCAAAAACAATAATTTTTTTAATCAGTTTGAACATTAAATATCACATCTTTGTGTTGTATTCAATTAAGTGAAAGAGGATTAGCAAATAATTGTATCCTCTTTTTATTCATACTTGATTACAAAACATCCCAATTTCATTGGAATTAGAGTTTGTACAAATAAATGTCCCATTTTTGACGCTTAAAGCTATTTTTTTTTTAAATAAAAATGTCATTATGAATTGTAACTCTGCAAAACAACAACAACATCAAAATTCCCCAAGTCAAAAAAAAACATGTGCATGATCACCATGTGCTTACAAAGACAGAACTGTACATAAAAATATATAACAGACCACATGACTGAGCACATGACTGCCCATGCATTTTTCCACCATCAGTCTGATCGGCTTAACACACTGTCAGCTCTTTCCCTATTAATCTATTAGCAAGCAAGGCTGAAAAACTACATCTACAGATATGTGATGACCTTGATTGAGCAGCTGGAAATCCAATGTAGAGTTTCACATTTTTGAACAATCATTGGTTTTACATGGTGTACACGGTGTAGAATTTAGCTGCATCTTTTCAAAGAAATTGAATGTATTATAAAGAAGATTGTTTATAATTAATGGAACATTACGATTGTTTCATTTCTGATGGCTTTACGGTTCCTCGCACCCTTTAAATCAAAACTATGACTTTATTGACATTTTATTCTCAGAATATAATGACTCATAACATTGTGACTCTACATTTACTATTTTTGTAACAATCTGCCTTTACTATCACAACATTACTTTATTTACTTAGGGCTAGTTATTTCTCTCTGGTCATATAACCTTACTACCACTTTATTCTTGTAAGAAAAAGACTTTAAAACATCATATTTATGTATGTGGCTCTAATACGCTGTTGTTTGTGGGAAACGTTGGCCTTGTTTAGCATAACTTTGCTAATGTTAACTTGTGTTACTGAAGCAATAAAGAAATTGGGACAAATATCTCAGAACTGAGCTATAAACTGTAATTTTAGATAAATAACTAAAAACGTCACCAACTTTTTACTTGAAACAGTTGAATCACTTGTGTCTGTTGTGGATGATGTCATCTTTTATAAATCACTTTTGTGTCCTCAAAGGCCATCTTCGCCTTAGTAACAGGAAAAGCAGTCAGTGTGTAATTGTCTGATAAGGACGGGCTGAGAAACAAAGAGGATTGCATATTTACTAGGGCTGTTAGAATAATCATGTTAATTACAACGTGATCTTTTTTTTTTCTTGTCTTTATCAAACAAATATAATATATATTTTTGTATCTGTTTATTTTAGCCACTTCTAATCTTTTGTTTACACTTATTTTTCTTTAACAATCATTTTCCACTTTACAATATGGCGATCACCTTCAGAATTAACACAGAAACACCTGGTTTGTTTAGCTGTATGAATCAACTCACGCTCTATTTCTGCTGCTATACAAATTTAACAGTGAATTAAAGCTTCTGCTGCTTATTTGCTGCTTCTGCAAACATATTAACAACAAAACATGCGTTGAAAACAATCATTTCAGTTAACCTAAGATATTAATAGACTGAAACTCATTAACTAAATAATATAATACAAATCATCAGAGGATGTGCCAATTCACCCACAGGCTGACTCTTTATATTTCACTACCTCTTTAAGGAACATAACTACAGTAAAGTAGTAATGTTCAGGAACTACAGGACCCATATATAAAGCCCACAGACATTATGTTGCGTTGTTTACACATGTGAGCTAGCCAAATTCCACCGCAGTTGACCATGAAAATAATAAGTTTCTCTATTCTTCAACATCACATGAGAAAGATGTTAGAAGTCCTCAGAGATGCGTTGTTTTTCACATGCTGTTAAACAGTTTAAGTTCTCAAAAAGAAGTGACCAGGGACAATAGACTCAGTCAGTAGGCTAGTCTGTCTGATGAAAGGACCCATGCAGGTGTACTACAACTACAGCTCACTTTGTGGGATTCTACCTCTGGAGGCGAAAATGAGAAACTACAACTCAACACACATCTTACAAAACCCTTAAAAAATACATCTAATTTGGCCTTTTTCTCAAAATTAACAAATGTGTGGCCACAGTTGTGTTTTAGAATCATTTTCTAATACCCAAGTGCGCTATACATTTGTTAATATCTAATGTGTGTACAGGGAGTTCCCGCTGTGGCTCTGGGGCTGCTGCAACAACATAATGAGATGTATAATGACACTCTGGGACGCCAGCATAGTGCCTTTCCAAGGTGCAGTGTGTAAGTAGGGGGTGTAATGATGACAGAAGTCTGTTCCGGCACTGTTGCAGGAACTCCTGAAAAGTGCAATTGGTGGAGGTGGTTCACCTAAGTCTTGGTGAAGTGGTTGCATGAGCCAAAGATAAGCACTTGGATGGTCAAAAATTACCTCTGCTGAGCTCAGCTACTTCACGCCGACAGGATAGAGAAAAAAGTTGGTTACAGAAAGAGGGTGCATAAAAATTGTAAGTTGTGTATTTTGCCAGAGGTCTCCACCTCAGAAGACAGCTTTTCCCACTGAAACACCCCAATACTGTCCATGTCGTACATTTGGGTGTGATACCTCACAATATTTGAATAATAAATCATAGTGTCAATATCATTGTATACATTACTGTACATTCATTTGATTCCCACATCGAAACATGACTGAAACTTGTCAAATTGTCAAATTGTCAGTGTGGATTTCAGTAGATGGACTTGACAGCCCAAATACTTTTTATAGTGCTATTTTCTTGTCATTACTTAAGTTGTAGTATTCTTGCTGATATTAAAACAGTGCCTTTTATCAGTCTCTTTCCACTTTCCTTCTCTGCATCCTGCAGACTGGAGGCATTGATTGTTGGTTCTGCAGAGTTTACTGCTCTGCATCAAATAAAACAAAGGTTGCTCTTTACAGCACACAGTGCAATCTATATGCTGCTCAATGGGGAGACAACTCTGTTTGAAAACTGTAGCAACCTACACAACACACTACCTCAATCTTTTGTTCAATTATTCATGACGATGTCCATGACTGTACAGTGAAATAAAATGAAAGATTCATATATTCTGAAATGACAAAGAAAACACATGAGCAGGAGAGAAACAACTTTATATCTGTGTGTTGGTGTGTGCATTTGGAAAACAACTGGAGCAGTATACATCTCTCTCAGGGCATTTAATAACACCACGCCTCAAAAATTGATCATTTTGTCAGCTTATATTTTAATTCAGGCATGCACCACTGCCAGCTTCTTCATCTTTAAAGCTCCTGTGAGGAGTTTTTATATTTATGAAG